AATACACTTAGTTCACTTTCCATCTTAGTTCAAGCTTTAGTCCGTTATGGAGAAGAAAATTGTTGCAGATGTTACTATTTAACTTTCTTCACCAAAAACTACTAAATTCCAATAATAATTTTATACAAATTCATAGAACATACATTATACTAAGTCTTTAAATTTTATAAGTGAAGCAAGTATGCATGTAAGCATGTAGATATCGTTCAAATGAAAATCAGTAATGTCTTGCCAGATGATGTATCTATACAATAAGTCAAAAAGGGTTATATCTAACTTGATTAGTTCAGACTTAAAAAGCAGAGCTGTAGAGCAAGGAACTTACTCATAGCTTGAGTTATTCTCCTTTTATCCGGAGTCACGAATTTAGTTGGTCTCACAATCTTGGCAGGGCCACAAGTATATCCAGGACCTGGTGCTCTTAGGGTAAAGTTTCTAGGCACTCTCACAGTTTTGTTAGTTGTTCCTGCAGCACCAACACTAACCTGAAATGAGCTTGCTGCATTGGCAGGGTCTTGAACCCATGAATTTATCACCCCGCCTTTGCAGCAATTTGCTATCTGCTGGTTATAAGGAGTTCCAGGCAATAAATCCACAACTGTTGGATCCTTTTTACAGCAATGTGGTATGTTTCCCTTGAACTTTGAACAATCCCCTTGCTCTGTAGTTTGGGCTCCCATCATGCTCCAGATTACTTCCTTTTTTGCCCATGTCCACCCCAATGTCCAACCAGGTGCCTGAATATGTCGATACTGTTGGAAATTGTAAATTGTAACAACCGCCTACCAAAGTCGTAAGAAGAATAATTAGTATTAGAAATCCAGGAAAGAAGGAAAATAAAAAAGGCTTTAACATCAAAACAAAAACTCATGGAACTGCAATGCTGGATTGGCTATATTTTCACCCTAAGTGTTATATCTCTGAATGTGTTGAAGAAAAATATACACTTTTTGTGAGCCTTGAAAGAAAATGAACAGCAAAAAAGCAATGCTCCTTTGAAAATTATTCTGTGCAGTAAAGAGGCAGTTGCATACACACCCAAAAAAAAAGACATCAGTGATTTCTTTTGAAAACTAATCAAACAGAGCAAACAATCAAATCAATGCGTTAAACTTCCGATAGAAAATCTTGCTGGTTCCAAAAATCTATTTTGATTTTTGAAGGTAAGTTATTAGCTCTTTATATGTAAAAAAGCAAATGCACCCCAGACCCTTCAGTAATACTTACAACATAGCCATCTGGAGTCCAGCTTATTACGTCCCATTTGATAGTGACATTGCCAGTTGGATCAAGTGCATCATAAGCTTCTACAGAAACAGCCAAAAGATCCCAAAACTCTAATTAAAAGATAATTAAGGCATTGAGTTTTGAACAAATACTATTGTGAATTAAGGTCTGGATCACAAAATCAGAAATTAACATGCAAAACATGAAGTTTGCTCGTCAATAGCATTTTGCCTTTTTAGCCTTGGCCTGGGTAGAGACCTTTGGCCTGTCTAGCATTATCTACTGCAACTTGCAGACACATATAAGACCCAAACAAATTGTAAAATGTCTTGATACCCCAATGGCATAGATGTAAAGCGTTTTAATAATTTCATGTACTACACCATAAAAGTAAAAGTAGCCCTCCAATCTTTTCCTTTTGTGTATTATAGGTATGATTGTTATGATGGTGACTTCAATTATAAACTTCAATAAGCATCTCTTGCGTTATGACACTACACTTCAAAGTCTTTGGGGTCAAATTTGGTCAGTTCTATGTCGGTAAATACTGTACAATTTGATCTTACATTTCGAGCACACAGATCTCCATTCTTGGTAAGTTTCTCCATTTTATTGGTTAAAGCACTTAAATCTTAGTGTGTCCAGCACTGTTTTAGTTCTTTCATTTCTCTTCTCCCAAGAAATACCCTCTTTGCTGTAAAAAAACTAAAGTTGAGCCACCTTTTAAGAAGAACAGGGACAACAAATGATGCAAAAAACCTATCTGGCTTGCACTCATTATGCTTACATTTATACTTTTGGAAATTAAAATAAATGCCAAACTGTTGAAACAGAGTAACTGATCATTCATTAAGGAAGAAGGCCTTAAAAAAACAAGAAGAACAATTCCATTTTCCTCAATCTCTTCAACTTCTTAACAGCAGCCAAAATCAGATAACTCAATCCAACTTTCCAATCCAATCAAGACATAAAGAAACTACAAGATCAAGCTTTGAAGCTAATTTCAGCAACCCAGTTTGCCCTTTATATTAAAAAACTTGGATACAAAAACAAAATAACATTATGTTACTATAATTAGCAATCAACCACCTAATGAGAGCATTCAAGCTCCAAACTCTATGGAAGCATTTAAGCAAAACCCAGATTCAATTTCTTTACTAACAAGAACTACTCCCTTTAAGAAAAACCATGCATTTGACCGGAAACTTACCTGTAGAAGTGAAAGTGGAGCAAGATAACAAGAAGAGAAGCAAAATGGTACAGCTACAGAGCTTGGAAATGGATCCAGAAGCTGATGACAAGACAGTCTCCATGTCTTGATGCACACCCGGATAGTTTATCTGATGTTCTATGCTGTGATTAAGCTTAAGATCTACACAAGGAAATGGAAAGAGAGAGAAAGAAAAGATCCTTCTCACATGGAAAGGGAGCTCTTTCTAGAGTACGAGTGAGCTTGTAAAAGCTTATAGTTCTGTGTCTGAGAGAGATCCAGCCATCAATGCAATGTGGCTGCAGCGGTCGTTAGTTAACGTGCAGGTGTAAAATCACCATGATACCCTTCTGTGCTAAACTATTTTTCTTAAAAAAATTATTTTAAAAAACTTATTTTTTTTATATTACCCTCAAATTAGAAAATTCGCAAAATATGAACTCAAAGAGAATCTTTGTATTTTTCATAATTAAGTAAGTTAAAAACAAGGGTAAAATACATTATCTCTAACTTTTAGGTATAAATTTATAAGAATTCATTAGTATTAAAAATTGACAATCTGTTTCAAAAATATAAATACGATTAATAAAAATATAAAAAAATTAAAATATTTTTTTATTAATTTAAAAAATTATATAACATTAATTTTTATTTAATAAAAGATAAAATTATTTTTTTAATGTTATCATATCATTAAATTAACGAAAACACTAACCATTAACAAACAGTTAAATCTATTTGTCTAACGAATGATATTTTTTAAAATAAAATATTTATTTTAAAAATTAATAAATTTGTTTAAAATTTTAATTAAAATTTAAAAAACTAAGGGTATTTTACCCTAAAAACAAACTAACTTAAGAACAACAATCTTGCTTCTTCTTCTTTTTCATGATTCAATATAATCTTCATACAAAAGATTTACAAAATTCTATATTGCCCATTTCATGTAATTGTGAATGGATGTACTAGTAATTTGATTGGAGCGGTTGGTGAAGCATATGATTGTATGCCATTTGGAAAAAAACGATTCTAAATTTGTGTAACATGACGTGGCATCTTGACATCATTAGATGCTTACTACTGTAGCCTCCATGGTGTAATTGTCTTGAAAGGAGTAGGGGTATCCTTGGAATGGAACCCAACAGTTTTAGCAAGCATACGGAAATCCGCATAACGACGAAGCAAGTGGGGCATAAGAACACGTCATACACCACCCGGCAGGGCCCTGCTACCAGTGTCGGTGGGGAGAATTCAGAAGACTTGTTCACCGGGGAAAAGGAGACGTTTCTCTCTGTTCATTTGTTTGTTTCTCTAAGGGTCATGGCCCAACCACCAAACCTTTGCTACTTGTAATTTTTTTTATTTTCTTTTTTATATTTTGTGTGCCAATTGCATGGCTTATCTACTAGAATCACACCAAAATGTGGACCGGTCCTTTTTTTTTTTATTTGCAATTAGGTGGCAATTATTTCATGAACAATGCGTCGTTTTGAATAAAAAGATTTTGCCGACACTAGTTTTCATTCTAACTTAGGGTCAGAACCATTACCAACAGTATTGATATTTTAAGCCTATAACCCTTAATAACCAAAAGCTCTAATTTCTTTTTGGTTGCAAATTTTAAAATTAGATTTTCTTTTTCTTTTTTTTTAAATGAAATCAAAGTCATCATGTGATAATGAATATTTTTTTAATAACCGAAGAAGTAAGATTCGACTCTACTATTTAGATAAAAGATAATACATCAATTAATAAGTCAAATACTCGGATACATGTGATAATGAACTTTTAACTTATGAGAACCTTGTAGTTTTAACTTTTTTCAAATAGCATCTTATGATTTTTTTTTCAATTAACACTACAAATAAGTTCTATTTCCATAAAAATTATATTGTTAATTTTATTTTGTAAAATGTGAAAATAAAAATATTTTGATAATTTTATTAAGTGAAAATAAGAGTATAAACTCTTATAGAAATAAAAACATTAATTGAGAAAAAAATCACAGATATTATGTTAAAAAAAAAAAAGCTAAAACTACAAAGATATAAGTGAAGTCTACTACCTAATTCTCTATCTCTTGCTAACAGCTACTTAATTCTTTTTAATTAGACTTCACTTGATCAAACTTTGCTTCAATTTAATAAACTTGTGTTACCATCTTTTCATAAGAAAGACAAAAATTTTGCAAACCTGCAGCTAAGAGCCAAAGCATTGCGACTACCTTCTTCATAAAAGCTGGGTCTTTTGTTAACCACAAGCCTTTCACTTTATAAGCTTAAAATTGGATTCGTCTCCCAACCCCACCAAACAGGATAAAAATCCGGAAAGGCCTTCCTATCACGTGAACAAAACCACATGGTGGCATGTGATTATACTAGACAAAAGGGCACATGGGACGGATCGGGGCGTGTAAGGAGGACGAAGTTGGGAACCTGAACCCAACCCGACTCTAGTTGATGGTCCATTACTTACTGTAATATGATGTTGGGCTTTCCGAACCCAATACTTGGCCTATATAACTGAGGCTAATACTCAATACAGCAAAAGGCGTCCTGCAACGGTCAGTTGACATTCCACTTCTACTCTAACCGATGGATTAGTGGGCAAATAGTTTTGCACTTGAAGATAAGTTGAATGTAACTAAGCAAAATCCTTTCCTTCTAAGATTATATAGTGCAGAGAGTTAGGGTTTAAGGAAAGGTTTAGTAATGGAAGGCAACAACCTGGAACAAACACTCCAAGAAGGGAAACTTTACAGGCAACTGAATTCCCTCATCGTTGCTCATCTTCGCCATCACAATCTCACCCAAGTAATCCCGCTTCTTCAATCTCCCTACCCTTCCCCCTCTTTTTTTTATTCCTGATTTTATCGAACTTTTTTTTTCTTTTATTGTTTTCTAGGCTGCAAGAGCTGTGGCTGCAGCAACAATGACTCCTCTAGACGTTGAAGCCCCTCCTAACAAGCTTCTTGAACTTGTTGCTAAGGTGGGTTCCTTTTGTTGTTTGGGTTAAAGGAAAACAGAAAAAAAAAAAAAAAGGCAAGCTTCTTTTTTTAGTTCTAAGGTGATAACAGGGTCTTGCAGTGGAGAAAGATGAGATGTTAAGAGGGGTTTCTTCTTCTACATTGTTTGATCTTGGGGGAGCTTTGGCTTCTGGCTCGCTTCCGGCTCCTCGGGTTTCTTCTGTTGACTTTAGGCAATACCTCTTGCTTAAATCCTTGCTTTTTCAGTTTAACTAGTTTGATATGTATGCCCTTTTGTTTTCAATGCATTAATGTGAGTTTAATATGTAGTTAAGAATCTGAGCTTTTTAAGTTTGAAAGTCCTTCCTTTTAGCAGGGATAAACTCATAGTGAATGTCTATTGTGAAACCAGTGCTGTGCAGGATACCAAAGGCTCATCAAAGAGCTTTCCAAAGCATGAGACAAGGCATCTTTCCGAGCACAAGGTTTGCTTAACATATCTCTGCAATATGTTCTTGAAACTGAATGACATAAAACTGATGGGTTAAATATTCTTAAGAATATTGCGAGGTGTGCAAGGTTTAGTCCTGATGGGAGGTTTGTTGCTACTGGAAGTGCTGACACATCAATTAAGCTCTTTGAGGTAATGATTCTGGTATTTGTGTGGTTGAGTGTATTTCAACATGGACAATATCTAACTCCCGTGATGTTATTTCATTGGCAGATATCAAAAATAAAGCAAATGATGCTGCCAGATTCAAAGGATGGTCCTGTGCGACCAGTCATAAGGACATTTTATGACCATGTACAGGTATTGGTGAATTGGTTTTTCCGCAGTATGCTTAATGCCAACCATTCTCATGATTATGAAAAATAATTTTTATGTTTAATTTAGTTCCAAACCCTAATTATTTTTCATTATAACCTCTCTTTCCAGTTCATTTCCATCTTGTTTTTGCATGTCTTCTCTGTGATATATCTGGATGCTTGTATATTTGATCAATTAATTTTTTCTGGTGTCTTTCAAGTGAAGGTCCCACTTTTCACTGAACTGCAACTAACATGTGCTAGTGTCTAAAATTTATTAACATTATTTTCATGATTGCTTCTTTTGGGATCAGGGGAATGCTATAAAGGAACTGATTCTTCATACTTTGTGGCTGTGCATTGCTTCTTTTGTATTTCTTCTTTGTTTGAATCTGTATATTTTTCTCATAATTTGTGGTTGAAGTGATAGATCTCTTGATTTTGTTAAAGTTTGTGCTTCAGACCTCTCATGATAGAGTCTAAAAGGGTCATCTTCATAGAGTCAGATGTTAACAATTACTTTATACATTATACATATTCTCTGTTTCCCTTAACTCTAAAAGCTGATTAAATATGTTTATTTTCCCTTGCATGGTCTAACACTTTCTGCTGAAATGCAGCCAATAAATGATTTGGATTTCCATCCTCAGAGTACTGTGCTGATATCTGGGGCAAAAGATCACACAATAAAGTATGACTTCTCATCTAAATTTAATCTACTCTTAGGTTTCTTTTTAGTTTTTCATTCTGCCTTGCATTTCTTATATTCCTCTCATTTTAAGTTTATCAGTAACTCCTTAATGATAAATTGTGTTTTTTTTTGCCTTAAACTTTATTGTTTCTTGTGGTAGATAGAATTCATATTAACTGGCATTTCAACATTATGCTTATTACGTGTTTACAGGTTCTTTGATTTTTCCAAAGCTACTGCAAAGAGAGCCTTCAGAGTTATCCAGGTTTTGCCTGTTATTTTGACACTGTTTCAATCATGGTTTCTGAACTTAGCTGCAGAATTTGACTTTAGTATGTATTTATGACATTATAGTAAATTTTCTACTTATGATAACCCAGGATACTCACAATGTACGATCTGTATCTTTCCATCCATCTGGTGATTTCCTTCTAGCAGGTAAATTATTTGCTTCATATTTTCTGTGTTTGATCTTTTCTTGCCTGCTTAATTTTTTATTCAACATTATTATCATTGAACCTTAGATGAATATTCTTGTGGAAGACTAGGACATGTTGAAACTTAGAATTATTTGATTTAATTGAACTACTGGTACTGTGTTATCCATTTGAATTTTCATATACCAGATAGACCTTTTGAGGTTACTTAACCTACCTTTTAGTAAAAGCCTGTTTCATCTCTTGATAACAGAGGGTTGTTAATCTAGTGATACTCTCTTACTTTATTTCAGATAAGGAGTGATCAAAATGAAATGATCATGATTTGAAGTTCGGAAAAAGTATATAATCATATTTTCTCAGTAATTTAACAGGGGGTGATGATAGAACCGTAGATGTTGTAAAGCATGTTTGAATTGTCTCAGAATACGAAAGTTTGCATATTTGACAACTTTGAATTATTCAATAGTATTTTATTTTTTGTATTTTAAGTTTATTAAACCCTTATGTACCAAAAAAATTATTAAAACGATATGAACCTTGAGCAAAGTGCGCAATATGATTCATATATCCAACCCTACATAGTGGAAAATGGCTTTGTTTCTTGTTGTAAGTTGAACCTTTTTGAAATATGTACTTTGTTAAATGCTGATCTAATTTTTGTATCTCTGCTAAATTGGTAAGCATCTGAGCTAGAGTGGCATAAGGTGAACTTCTGTGAGGAGTTCTTTCTTTTGAGTTTGGTCTATTACCAGGATTTGACTACTTACAAGGTCGGGATGAAAACTGACAGGAACTGATCATTCAATAGCACACTTGTACGATGTTAATACGTTCCAATGTTATCTATCTGCAAATCCCCCAGAGATTGGTGTTAATGGAGCCATTAATCAGGTATAAAATATCACATCTTCCAAAATAGAAGGATCTCTCATCCATTTATTACAGATAAATTGAGACTATTAAGTCCATAATTCAATCTGTTTCCATGTGCAGGTGAGATATTCTTCTAGAGGTGGCATATATGTTACTGCATCTAAAGATGGTGCTATTCGGTTATGGGATGGAATAAGTGCCAGTTGTGTGCGCTCCATAGTTGGTGCACATGGAACAGCAGAGGCCACAAGTGCATGTTTTACAAAGGATCAAAGGTATAGATGTTAAATGGTTTGATTATAAGTAGGATATGTTGTAATTTATAAATTAAATGAGCTATAAATTGCAGAAGATGCAGCTTTATATGTTATATTGTTATATTATTAAATGGAGAAAACATGTTATGTCATAAAATTAGGAATTTTTCTCTAGACAAGGGCCGTAGTCTACTTTTAGTTTGTAACAGATAGTGAAGGAGAGTACGGTTTACGGGGTGCAAATCAATGGTCAAATTATGTAATTAATCCCTGTACACTATTAAAAATGTGAATTTAGTCCCTGTACAATAATTTTTGTAAATTAGGTCCATGTACTTTCCCAATTTGTTAATGGTGGTCCAAACCTTAACACCGTTAAATTATGTCTTCATAATTTTTGCAAAGCTTACTCGATCTTTTTTTTTCCACTCAAATTGACCAATTACAAAACAGAAATTTGGAAAGAAAAAAGTGATGTTTCAGTGTTCTAACAAGTGTCCGTAAGATTTCTCTCAATTTCTTTTCCCATTTGTTTTAAGAAACCAATCCATGACTTGAAAGGAGTTGGGGTGTTTTGTTCATTGGTAGTCATGTCAACAAATGTCACATCAGCATTTGCCATGTCATCAAATGTTGCATCAGCATAGTTGATGGTGGAAACTTAATGATTTTAGGGTTTGGACTGAAATTAACAAATTGAAAAAGTATAAGGACTCAATTTAGACAAATTATTGTACAGGGACTAAATCCACATCTTTTATAGATTATAAGGACTAATTGCATAATTTAACCACAAATCAATTGGTGGCAGAAAGTGCATATAGAGGCACAAATTTCTTTTTAAGAACTAATCACGTAGAATATATAGGATGTTGCTTCGCAAGATGATTCATAAACTTCGCGTGGTTATATGCATTAGTGCCTTGGCATGCTTAAAAAAACTTGACCATAGTATCAACTTTTTAGGTTTGTTCTTTCTTGTGGAAAGGATTCAACTGTAAAGCTTTGGGAGATTGGCACTGGAAGATTGGTCAAACAATATCTTGGATCTACTCACATACAATCGCGGTGCCAGGTATGCAAGGGTGGTTTTCTTTTTGGTTAAGCTTCCTTGTTGTCTTGGTTATTTAAATATTTCTATAGTTACTGCATGGTGGCTGAAAGGATAAGCTAATTAGCAGTCACACCTCTTCTGCGAGGTCTCAAGGTCTAATGAACTATCCTCCAAATTTGCTATTAGGTATATAAAAGACTTATCACACAATTTGTAGATTTTCTACCTGAAACAACACTTGCCATTAACTGGAAGGATTTGGTCATGTGTTCATTTTAAAGCAGAATTTAATGATCTTAAAGATTTTTATGGATCATAACTACTAAACACGTCAATCTGTTTTCTGCAGGCCGTTTTTAATGATACTGAAGAGTTTGTGCTATCTATAGATGAACCTAGCAATGAGGTTTGTTCAACTTCCTGAGAATAGTGGCAAGTATATATTCTCCTATGGTTGGCATCTGCTAATTTTTCTCTGATGGATGCAGATTGTTATTTGGGATGCGTTGACAGCAGAAAAAGTGGCAAAGTGGCCTTCCAACCATATTGGTGCACCTCGTTGGATCGAGCACTCACCAACAGAGGCTGCCTTCATTTCCTGTGGGACTGACAGATCTGTTCGGTTCTGGAAGGAAATTCTCTGAGCACACGGAAATTGGAGTGGTCTGGGGAACCTAATTGAGCTGACTTGGCAAAACCTAAATGCATGATAAGTGTGGCTGCCCCTGCCTGAAATTCTTTTGTGTATTCAGAGTTTAGATCTTAAGGCAAATCTTTGGAGTACACTGTACACGTAGTGACCCCTGAGGCACATTTCTCCTTTTCTCTTTTTTTCCACCAAATGGAGACAACATGCATCGCACGCCCTACTTAATTTCATTCGATTTTTGGTTATCATGTTTGATCAGTGCTGTAATTATGGATTGTTTTAGGAACACATCCCTGTAAAAGGAAATACGTGAGCCTAGGGAAGTTGGCCCCAGTTGTAAGCCCATTTTACAGTTTAATAATGGCACTATCCATATGCTTAATATTTCGGTTTCACATTGATTTTTAAGTATTTTCTTTGTTTTCTCCCAAGATAATCATGTAAATGATGAAATTTTATGAAGTGTCTTATCCTGGCAGATCAGTTGATATAAAGGCAAGCCTCAAAAGACCTCTCAAAGTTTGGCGGGGTTCCATGTTTCATTTTGACGTGTTTTACACGCAGAAGTTCCTTGGGTTCGACATTTAACATTCAACTGAAACAAAGAGATTCGTCATTTGAGTGTAGATCAAGTGGCACAGTTCATCTTCCTGGTTTTCAAAATGTTCGAGCTACACAAATTCAGTGGAGTAGGGAGTAAGGGTACACCCTGAAACATGGCTGCCTTTGCAGCGTCACTGCTTCATGGAAGTGTCATGTTTCTTCAATTCAAACCGTTCCATGAAATTACAGCACTTCAGGATCATTCCCACGTATGATAAAGCATGCATGTCCTCAGAAGATGTGGAATAACATAATAGATAGATGATTTCTAATAAGAGAAAACCAGGGTACTCTTTGGAAATGAGGAATGACGAATTGTAAATTTTACAGAACTTGAAAGCTGAACAAATTCACAGACGGACCGAATTCAACTGGTCTTGCTTTCAGCACGATAATAACCTTTCAGGCCTCAGGGAAACGAAACCCTCAACAAACCAGAGAGGGACATCAATTCAGTCGTTTCCTAATAAGCCATCGCCTAGTCAATGCCATTCTCCCATGGGGCACGTCCATTCATTTTTGGCCAATCTGTTATGCAACAAATGGTAGCTGAAAGTCCTACACTGATTCGACAGCTTTGCCATCTACATTATCATGTTGCCCATCTCATTTCTTCATTTATTCAGGAGAGCTCCTTATATCCAAACAAGGAAATGAGGTATGGTGAACTTTATCAATGTCATAAGTCTGATCATTTTCCAACATCTTTCCAGTTATCCAACAAAAGCAAAAACATGGATCTGAAGAGAAAGATTTCACTAGTAAATTCTGTAAACTCAACGGGTACTCAGAAGAATAATGCAGAACCTGTAAAGCAAGACCGAACTTGAACCTATATAAGTGAAAACAAAAATACACTGTGGCACTGGCAATCGATCATGCTACGATTCAGCTTACATAATTAAGAGAAAACACTTACGCGGTTGATTTACATTGCTCAGTATATTCATGAGAACACGGCTGCATAACACCTTGCAGTAAGTGGTAAAATTAAAAAAGCAATGATGTCCTAGGATCAAACTCATGTACATTTTGCATCATGCAATCAAGACCTAAACTTGCAATCCTCATTTTGTAAGAAGCATCGAATGAGTAAGAGGAATTACTCAAACATAATTTTTATTTCTAATGGTGCCAACAGCAGAGCAAAAACGAGAACACAATTTTATAACAACAAAACTCATCATAAATAAATTATCCAAGCTCAGAAAAAGCCTGCAACTCCAATCGACATTGTCATACCACTTAAAATTTCAGTAAGGCACAGGCCAAGTTTAGACATGGCGCATCATCCTTTTAGGCTTCTTTACAAAACTTAGTCGAATTTGCCTAAGACGTCTCCTCTTCCTAGCCATTTTTTCAGGCAAAGTCTCCCTCTTCTTCTCCTCCTTCACAGCTTTGGTTTTCTTCATATATCTAGGATCCACCCTATACGGCTTAGGTTCAACTGGCACCCCATTTTTCACCGCTTCATTATAAAGTGCATTGGCTCTATCAAGCCGATTATGAGCGCACCATTTCCCCATTAACAAGTCATAAGTCTTTATCCCAGGTTTACACCCATCTGCCTTCATCTTCTTAAAAACAATTATAGCATGCTCAACCCTCTCAATCCCACAGAGAATCTTCAGAAAACTGTAGTATTCCTTCTCACCAAGCTTATCACCAAACCCAGCAGACTTCATCCTATCAATCATCTCATCGCCTTCTGCAACTCGTGCAGCCTGATACAAACTCCTAATCAAAATCAAATAACTCTCTGCGTCTGGATAACACCCCCATTCTCCCATCCTATAAAACAACTTCACTGCATCCTCAGTTTTCCTAATCTTACACAAGTTATTCATCAACACATTAAAAGTCTCCACATTTCTGGGAACCCCATAAAAATCCATATCAAGCAAAACTTTCTCAGCTTCCGAATGAAGTCGAAATGGATCTTTCTTCCTACAAAGCTTACAAACACAGTCAAGCATTGCGTTATAAGCCATTGTACCAATCTCAAAACCTCCCCTATACATTTCCCCAGCCAATCTTTTCGCTTCTTCAAGCTTCGCATCAACACACCAACCTTTGATCAATAAATCACATATCATCTCGTCCGGGAATATCTCATTCGCCGAGTTTTTCACCATCTTCTCAGCATAACTTGCACACCCATTTTCACACAACTTCCCTACTATCAGTCTTAGTGATTCTTTATCTCTTTTGAACCCATAATCCTTCTGCATCCTCTCGAAAAACCCGAGAACTTGGGCAGGCCGGCCAGCCCTGACCAGCCTATCAACGGAGGACTCGAACGTTTTAGGCCCAGCAACAGATTTGTTGTTAACAAGGAGATCATGGGCAGCTTTGAAATCTTTTCTTCGACCGAAATAGTCGATGAAAAACGACAGCGTTTCATCGGTGTGGTTGAAATTAGGGTCTGAGAGAAGCCAATCGTTAAACCCTATAACAGTACGGCCAGCTTCAGGGGAGAGATTGAGGGTTTGGGAGATTAAGAGAGGAGTTGGCTTGATATGAGAGAAGCTGAGCTGGAGTCTTTGGGTGATTGGGAGAGGGTCTAAATCAGGGTTCTTGAGGATCTCAGTGGAAAGAGACCGAGCAATTGGATCAGGGTTTTGGGTTGAGAAGGGTTTAGAGAGTAGAAATGCTGATTTGGGGAAATGGGTAGGGGTGAAATGGGGTTTCAGAGGGAGGAGAGCGTGGGGTTGAAAGGGAGAGGGAGAAGAAAGGAAGTGCTGGAGGAGCCGGCGGAGTTGCAGCAAGGTTAACGGCGGCATTTTTTTTTTGTTTAATGGGAAGAAGAAAGACGGGTTTAAGAGAAAGGAGGAACACGAGCTCAGCGTCAGCGGTGGGAGGAAAACCGCTCACTTTTTCGGAATTGGAAATGTGGAAACCTAGAGAGCGTGAAGTGGGTGGCAATCTGGGCCTACTGTAGCCCAATCCAGTGAGGAAAAGAGGACCTAAGGTGGGCCCAGAAGCTGATCAGATGGATTTCTTTATGGCCAGACTTAATTAAATTCACTCCGCCTTGCCTCCATACTCATTCCCCAAAATCTTGTCTTGCTGTTATCATCCGTTGATTTTGTCACGCCAACAAAGCATTCAAGAGCATCAATCATGAATCCTGTTATGGGGTACTATTAATCAAATTCATATAATTTTTAAAGTTTTTACTTTGACATAAATAAATTATTTAAAAATTCAAAATAATTAGTCATTATTAAATTAAAAAAAAACATTTAGAGATTAAATGTCGTAAAGCTAAATTCTCATTCTCGATCCATAATCAATATAAACTCAAAGTTAAACTTGGTAATGACTGTACCAAGCATCAGTTCGCTCGCAAACATCAACTCAAAGTAGCTATATTTCATCCATATCCTAAGTCTATTGGTCTATATGACCTTTTTACTATAAGACAAAGGTAAGTTCTGAAATTTGGATGTTTGTTTGGGATCACCCAGAATTTGTTTGGTCTCAATTAGTTCGGTGCTGTCCTTTGGATGTAACGTATAAGGTTCCCATCTCGTGGGAGTAGGCTTTTGGATATAGATATATAGGTAGTATGATTTCAATACTTGAAATGAAATTTGTGTCAGTTGTTTACCAGGTCTGTGAAGAAAAAATGATATAAATACCATTTAATGGTGTGGAATATTCGCCCTTCTCTTTTTCTTTTTGGATTCCAGCGGCCACCACGTATGTCCACTGGTCAAATTGCGTGAACAGTGCTTTAGACAGAAAGTAGACCAAAAGTTACAGGGGTCATTACGCACCCGATGACGTAACCAATCAAGTTCTTGTCTCTGTGTGCTCGTCTGTTCTCCAAAAAGGGGTAGCCAGGGATACTAATAATCATTGTCTTAATGAATGGGCAATCATCAACCACCCAAGGAACGCAAAAGTTAATATAATCTGTGTCGCAGACTTTGCAGTCAACTGAACTTCATCACCCGGTTCGTACGTTACTTTTCGTTGTGCAACTCTTTTATAACCTTAACCTTGGAACCTGGTTGTAGATATTATTACTATTGTTGCTGCGTTTATCTTTGCTAGGATTGAGCTTTCAGAGACAGGTTTTCTGGGATGCGTTCCGGTGGGTCTGACAGAACTCCTCTGTTGGACCGAGGAGTAAGTTTGTTCCCTTGTTTCTGTTCTGTTTCTTTTGTTCTTTAAAGTTCCTATATTGCTTTGGTTTTTGGGTTACGTTTTGCGTTTGATTTAAACTGTTCGCACATGTTCTAATTCATGGTTTATAGCCTATAATTTTGCTCTTGTTGGTGCTTTGGATGATGACATTCAGTTTAAATGTTTCCATTAATTGGAATGTGTTTGAATATTATGATTCTCTTTTATGCTTGAATGGTTTTCAGATTTCATTCTGTTGTTTGTGTGTACTGAATTACAATTAATGGCATGTCGTTTTAGTGTAAAATGATTAAATCACAATGGAGCAAAATATTTCAGTTTTATTTCCATTTAATTCCCGCTGAAATTCTCTTTGCTTGCTTGGTGGCTGAAACTATGTTTCTCTGGCACTGATTTTGCTCTTTGGCTGTGAATTTGATTGTGATCAAGGTCATAGTTTCCATTGTCTATACATTTTAAAAGCTTGAGAATCCAATTCAAATCTCTATTTGGTCATTTGATTGGTGCATACCTACTTTTCTCATAGACTTTTAAGTTATAGTTTTACATTGGCTGCATGCTTACATTGCATGAAAATTTTCTTGAGAAGCTGTGCCTGGAGCTCTACATTCAAAATTATTATCGTCAGTGTTTTATTTTCTAATATTAATTTCATTTTTATAGGGAAGAAGAAAGAGGAATGAGACCTTGGAAAATGATAACTTGACTGACCTTGAGCATGGGGATGCAGTACCGGTAAATGTGGCTTCTTTTGGATAATGTAAATTTAGATACTATATTAACTGATATGTGAAGATGTGATGACTTCATGAAAATTTTCAGGCTGCAAATGTGAGCTTTACTAGAGTATTTTCACTTGTAAGTGGCTGAATTTTGACACTTCTTGTTAAGTAGAGCTATGCAACTGAAAATTTTGGAGTTTTGACATTATATCATATAACAGGCAAAGCCTGATGCAGGGAAACTCATATTAGCAACAATCGCTCTCTTGATTGCTTCCACGTCAAGTATATTGATTGTATGTATCCTTTACGTGCTACTTATTGACCCTTTCTGCTTCACGCACACACAAAAAGAAATGAAAGGAGAAATTAAGATAACTAATCTTATTTCTGGAGATTTGAGTTTAGTTTCAATGAACTTGAATTGTTCATGCTACAGCCAAAATTTGGAGGGAAGATAATAGATATTGTGTCAGGAGATATCAGAACACCTGAACAGAAAGCTGAAGCATTAACTGCAGTCAGGAACACCATACTAGAAATTTTTCTGATTGTTGTAGTTGGGTACGAACACTTTTTACATTTATGCTTTTATTTTACCTATCAGTCATGCAAATTATTCCTTTCAATACAGATTATTAGTCTCTTTATGTCACCTCAAGGGTTTCATCATCTTTTATTGCTTTTGTTCCCCATTCCAGTTCAGTTTGCACAGCACTACGAGCATGGTTATTTTCTTCTGCAAGTGAAAGGGTGGTTGCTCGATTGAGAAAGAACTTGTTTAGTCATCTTATTAACCAGGTAAAACATTATTACTGTAGTGAGTTTACTCTTACTACTCATGTTTCATTTGGATATTGACAGATATCTTCATGTGAATTATTGTTTATAACAGTTGATGAATTTTGCAGGAGATAGCCTTCTATGATATTACTCGAACAGGGGAACTTTTGAGCAGGCTATCTGAAGATACTCAGATCATAAAGAATGCAGCAACTACCAATCTTTCTGAGGCCCTTAGAAATTTGTCAACTGCATTTATAGGCCTGGGTTTCATGTTTGCAACATCATGGAAGCTAACATGTAAATATTTATTTAATCCCAAAGCACTAGTTTGAAGTTTTATTTATTTTAAATAGGTCCTCAATATTATTAGTTGTTATGTGTTATAGTGCTGGCTTTGGCTGTTGTGCCGGCAATTTCTGTGGCTGTTCGAAAATTTGGCCGCTTCCTTCGTGAACTTTCTCACAAGACTCAAGCTGCAGCAGCAGCAGCTGCTTCAATTGCTGAGGTATTGTCTGCCATTTACAAATCTCAGTGCATAACTAAATAATGGTAATGCACAAATTCTGTTTTAGATAACTTTTTTTTTTTTTGAAAACAGTGTTTGATAACTTTTAAACCCTAATAACTGAAGCATGTTGGTCATTTTGATGGAATTCCCGGAGTCTAGAGTTATCAAGTAATTTATCTTATTAGATATTTCTCTTTGAAGTATAAAGGTATAAAAGACCATAAAATTGCAATGACTGGCCAGCCTGATTGGTCTTTATTGACAAGGTATCCACAGGTGATGTACTACAAAAATATCAGCAGTGATATGCAAATAAGGAACCAGTTAAATGGCTTAAACATGATGCTGATAGAAGCCAAAACCAGTTGAACCATTTTAACAATTGGTGGTGTTATATGAATCTAGGAACTCAGTACCTATAATATCTTTCAGACACGAGTTGAGTCATATCCTATCAATTATTTGAAATTTGATGGTCTAGTATCTTTTGTGCTGTAGTTTTATGATGTACTAGGAAGCCTTTGTGGAAAATCAGATACAAAGTTTTTGAATTGTTGTTTAGGAATCATTTGGTGCAATTCGCACGGTTAGATCTTTCGCACAAGAAGGTTATGAGATATCACGTTACTCTGAGAAAGTTGATGAGACACTAAATCTTGGACTTAAACAAGCTGTGAGTTCCCTGATGTAATTTGATCTCTCTCTCTCTCTCTCTCTCTCATGTGGCAAACAGTCTCATCTATTTATTGCAACAGAAAGTGGTGGGGCTCTTCTCTGGAGGTCTAAATGCTGCATCAACATTATCAGTTATCGTGGTAGTTATCTATGGAGCTAATTTGACAATAACAGGTTCCATGACCCCTGGTGCTCTAACGTCCTTCATTCTTTATAGCCTTACAGGTAAGGCCCATTGTTGCCTAGAGATGTATATCAAGTGATGTGTGGGATGTTTACTTCATCAAGTTTGGCCATCTGCTGTTCCAATTTTTTACTTCCATTAATTCCTTTCAGCTATTTGCACTTGCAGTGGGATCTTCTGTATCTGGACTCTCAGGGTTATACACAGTTGCAATGAAAGCCGCAGGAGCGAGCAGGCGCGTTTTTCAGCTTCTGGATCGCTCCTCATCAATGCCAAAATCAGGAAATAAGTGTCCATTGGGGTTAGTTCATTATTTCTTATAATTCTGTCCATGAATATGTCTCAATGCCAATGGTGGATCGTCAGCATCACTCATTATTTCTTATAATTCTGTCCATGAATATGTGTCAATGCCAATGGTGGATCGTCAGCATCACTCCCGGAAAATATGGTTTACATAGAAGTAGGTGCTGAAAGTGACAAAAGGCTTTCTTTTATTTCAGTGATCAAGATGGAGATGTGGAGTTAGACGATGTCTGGTTTGCCTATCCGTCCCGTCCTAACCATATGGTACTCAAGGTATTCACGTATTCATACTTGTCTTAGTGTGCACATGATGTCTGATATGAATGATATTGTGATTAGCTTACTTGAAACATTCTGTTTTTTCAGGGAATAACGCTTAAACTGCAGCCTGGCTCAAAGGTTGCTCTTGTTGGCCCTAGTGGTGGAGGAAAAGTAATATCTCTGTCTGAAGCTTTTGTACTGATTCTAAACATTTCCAGCTTATTTCAAAATCCATTCTGGCAAAAGATTTTTGTTTGAAGGGTAGGTCAGCATATTTACCATCTGTTCACTTTGTCTGCCGCAGAGCACAATAGCAAACTTGATTGAAAGGTTTTATGACCCAATGAAAGGAAAGATTCTACTAAATGGGGTTCCTTTGGTAGAAATTTCACATGAACATCTTCACAGGAAGGTAATCCTGATTTTGATTACATTTAAAGAAAATTAAAAAGAAATTTTGTTTGTTCACTTTTATGAGAACATCACACTTCATTGTTTATTTAATAACTCATTGTGTAACTATCTAGTTTCAGAATATGATAAACTTCATTCTTTGATGTATAGATCAGCATAGTAAGCCAGGAACCAGTCCTTTTCAACTGCTCAATAGAGGAAAACATAGCCTATGGATGCGAAGGCAAGGCCAACATTAGCGATATAGAAAATGCAGCAGTAAGCTTCTGCATCTTCAAGAGTAAGTATCTCTACACTGTACACCACGGGGCACTGACATTTGAATGTTTGAGAATTGCAGAAAATGGCCAATGCGCATGAATTCATATCAAAATTTCCAGACAAATATCAGACTCATGTTGGAGAGCGTGGAGTACGGCTTTCAGGAGGACAGAAACAGAGGGTAGCAATAGCAAGAGCCCTGCTGATGGATCCAAAGATTCTCCTTCTGGATGAAGCCACAAGTGCTCTAGATGCTGAAAGTGAATACCTCGTGCAGGTGAGAATATCACGTACTAATTAATTTCAATTTTATCGAATTTTTCAGTTTATTGAACACAAATCTTATTAGTTAAGCTGAGTCCATAGTTGATGAGTTCTCCCCTCACACATATTGTGTAGGATGCCATGGATTCTCTAATGAAGGGAAGAACAGTTTTAGTTATAGCCCATCGGCTATCAACTGTCCAAAGTGCAGATACTGTGGCAGTCGTTTCTGATGGCCAGATTGTTGAAAGTGGCAACCATGAAGAGCTTCTTGGCAAAGATGGGGTGTACACTGCATTAGTTAGGAGACAATTACAAGCACCTAAGACAAACTTGTAGGTTGAACTATGAATTATGTCTGTCTATGCAGATAATTATCATTTTTCGTGTTTTCTTTTCTGTATCCTCAGATAATCTTCTGCTGTTTATAGTATTTACAGCAAATGCTAGCATCAAACATAGCAGCTAGTCTTTGATTATAGCTCAATAAAACAATAAGCTTTGCTTTTTTTATGTTATTTATAATTTTTTTTTTCAAAGAAAATTCCTTTTCATTTTAATGGATTTTCAAATTCGTTCCAAAAATGTAATGTACGTAATGTTTTAGAAGAAGCTAATTTACTTATTGACAAATTTATTTTTCATATTTGTTGATTGAATCATTTAATATTACCTTGTTTCCAAGAAATGAAGTATTAAAATTTTTATAAATCGATATCTTTAAACAATATATATATAATTATTATTTTTAATATCATCATTATGATAATGTTAAATAAAATTAGATTTGACACCAAACATGTTGATCTCTAATCTCAATTGATTAATAAATGTTAACCAAACATGATAATCTTAAAATAACCCATGATAAGGTTATCGTAATAATAAAACTGCCATGACAATTAGATCACCAACTTAATCTTAAAAGTGATGCCAAATTTTATTTTATTTTATTTTATTTTTTGTTCACTTACTCACACCATGAATATATTGTTGAGGATATTCAACAATTTATTGACCATATCTTTCTTTTTCTTTTTTCTTTCTTAATGGATTTAAACAAGTCTTCTGTATATTCTCTCTCTATCTTCACCACAAAAAAATTGAATTATATTTGGTCAAAAAAAATTAAGGTTGTTTTAATATTAATTGATAAACTTTATATATAATTAATTTATAAGAAAGTCAAGATTAACCATAATTGAATTTAAAATACAAAAACATACTTGATTGTTAATCTATTAGTTGATAAGGACAACAATATTTAATCAAATTAATTATTGGAATTTCTGGACACTATGTTGTATTTTCCTCCTTAATCTATAATACTCTAATAAGTGAAATTCTCAATGTTGCCGTAGAATAGACCCAAAAAAAAAAATTTAATCTTTAACTTTATATTACGAAAATTCTATTCCTAGTTATCATAAGATTTAAAATGTTTATAAAATTCTAAATGATTAAACTCACATATACAATACTGAAATTTAACTCATTTTTTTATTTTTCATTAAAACTAAATTAATTTGATTTAGTTTAATAAAAATTGAATTAAATAATATAAATTAATATTTTAATAATTTTAAAACATTTTTGAAAATAAAATCATTATTTTATTCTTTCCATGGAGAGGTTGAGATTGATTGGTGTAAAAGCATTATTGCATTAAATGATGATTGAGAGTGAGATAAGATTGAAACAGACCTATGCTATTAGATTGATCTATTATTATACATTCATAAAGTTCACAGAGCAAGACAGAACTTGGCTTGTGTCTGACAGTCCAAAGCCTGCAGCTTGTTTAAATGAATGTTAAGCATGGACTCAGAGATCAGCCAACAATCCAATCCAGTGAAGATTCAAAAGATGGCGATCAGCATGTTTGAAATTAAAATCTTTTGCTTGTATGGAAATTAAAAATCTTTTACTTTCTGACACCAACAATCCATTTTCCAATCAGTTTAGGCTTTTGGAAAGCACAACTTACCAAGCACAGCCTCATAAAAATGCATGGACAAATTTGCAGTGTCCCATCACTTTCAGCCGCCTCTTTCCGTCCTTTTCCTTGACATCAAGCACCCCAAACCATAACAATTCTTTACTGTTTAGTCCCAATTCCATTTGCTTTTCTTACATGTCTACACGGGAACCAACCTAGGATGAGCTTGTCACAGGCACCTGGAAATATCCCTTCGTTTGAGTTCTTGTGGCCACCTCTCTACTAGACCTGATAATTTGTTTTTTTTTTAATTATATCTTGTAAATATAATATAAATACAAAACATTAACCATTATTATGAATAAATATGAATTCAACATAATTAATTAATCGTATAACTCTCTTTACATTTTAATATTATTGAACACAAGAAAATGGGGTTTGCAAATTAAGTCTTTAAACCTTTAAAAACTTTGGTTTAAGTCTTATGTTCTCTTTTAATTAATATATATAAGATAAGATAAGAAAAAAAAAAATTTTCCAAGAAAACCCGGGCCAATGGAACTTAAGTGACCCAAAAGGGGGCCCAAAAGGAAAAGATGGGCCCATTCTGATGGTGTCCGATTCAACACCTCTTTCTTTTAGCCACGTGGCTACTAATCCCCCCTGAGCCACTTTCATGGGCCCACCAAGTTTTGGTCCTACATCAAATGACACGTGTTCGCAAGGCCCTGTCTCCAGTTACCATGTAAAGCCCATCAGATTCCTCTCTTGCTCTGTCTGAGTCTGTACGGTTCTAAAATTTCCAATCCCTCTCTCTTTCAAGTGTTTCATTAAACCAAAAATTCCTAAAATGTTTAGCTTTAGCCTTTGGGATGTAGCCATTTCGTTATTTATTTTATTTATTTCATATTTCATTTTATTTCTTTGCATGAACTCTTAATCCGCTCAAATGACAAATCCCCATACCCACAAAATACATTAGAAAGAATAATCTTTACCCTTTCTTTCTCTTCGAAGATTGTAACTTTCCGTCACTCTCCCACTGAAAATCTTTCATTTTTCCAGAAAAAGAAAAGGAAAGAAAAATGAGGTGGGAAAAGGTTCGGCTTTGCCTGCAAGAAGTTGGAGGTGTTGGAGAAGCATGTCCAGGGCCTGGCAAACGATGGGGTCATACGTGTAACTCCATTAAAGGAGGCAGATTTCTCTATGTTTTTGGTGGTTATGGCAAAGATAACTGCCAAACCAACCAAGTTCATGTCTTTGACACTGGTGGGTCTTTTTTAAAATCTGGGTTAATTTTTGATCACTTCTTTTTTCATATCTGTATGAAAACTTTGAGGTTTGCATTGTGATTTTTATTTGGTATTTGAGAAAAATTTTGGATTTGAATGTGTTACGTATATTCTCTTAATTCGCCTTTTGCTGGATATGTTATTGAAGTTCATTTTAGGGTTTTTATTGGGTTTATTGTGTTACCTTTTTTTTTGTGGAAGGTTGTTGGTATAGCATTAATGTTTTGATATGTGCTTTGTTTGTCATTAATTGTTGGTATTAATGCTTCTATGCATCTGCTACTCAAAGGGTTGTTAGGTCGTTTTTTGTCTATCCATATTTGTGGTTATTTCTGGATCAGCATAAACTTTTGCTTGCTTCCAGTTTTGTTTGCTTTTAGAAAATTTTTATGAGTTTTTGTTGTTCTCATGCTTTTGGAACCATTTGCCCCATATAATATGTCATTTCTTGATTTTCCTTGTTATTTAATTGCTTTTATTTATCTTTTTTGTACTTGGGTTGTTTTAATAGCATTTATGATCATATGAATTCTTGTGGTGGTTCTTTAGTCACTCTCATATTTTCCTTATCGCAAATTTGCAGCTAAGCAGACATGGAGCCAGCCGGTAATGAAAGGCACACCTCCAACTCCAAGAGACAGCCATAGTTGTACTACTGTTGGTGACAATCTTTTCGTATTTGGTGGTACAGATGGGATGAACCCTCTCAAGGATCTACATATATTAGACACTGGTGAGTTGTACCCTCTTTTTTATTTTCTTTGATTCACCTTTGATCACCCATTATCTGCATTTGCATTGATATTTTTTCAATTCTTTGACAAATCATTTTGCTAAATTTGACTGGTTAAAATCTGTAATAGAGATCATCATATTTTTGCATTTTAAGTTTGTTATAGGAATTAATTAATGTTCTTTTGAGATTGTCTTGTAACTTGGTGTAATGATGTTCACGTAATTTGTAGACACCGATAACTCTGAGGAATTTAACTCTAAATCATGCACTCTGAAGCTCTTTATTTCTATTCATGCTAGCATAAGGCCACCTGCCTACTTGGGTGAAAAAAGACTTAAATGTATGAAATAATTATTATCTTTTATTATATAATTAAACATGAAAATTTCCTTCTTCAGAGAGTGGGGAGAGATTTATGAGTGATTATCTAGATGGCTGTCAAAGCAATTGCAGGAAGTTAAAATTTCTTTTCTTTTTTGTTATTTTAATTGATAAAACAACCAATTATTATTTACCTTACAGTTTTTGCATGGAAATAACATGAAGTGCTTTGTGGTTTATTTTGGAATACTTCTGCCAAAATTTATCCCTGAAACCCATCAGTGGCTACCTTAATTAATAGTAGAGATGTATAACTTCAGCACATGTTAATGTTGCAGCCACACACACTTGGATATGTCCAAGTGTAAGAGGTGAAGGGCCACAGGCACGGGAGGGTCACAGTGCAGCTCTTGTTGGTAAACGGCTCTTCATATTTGGCGGCTGTGGGAAATCTTCTGATAACAATGATGAAATATATTACAACGATCTGTATATATTAAATACAGGTAAACTTCTTGACAATGGTTATTTACTTATTGCTTTGGCTAAGTATGGTTTGATTAATTCGATCTCTATTTCTATATTTGACCATAGAGGGGGAAAAATGAGAAAATCTTTGGAAAAATGTTTGCATTTTTGTGGAACTCCTTGTGTAAATCTAAGGTGCTGAACTGAGTTGTGCTTGATATCTCTTTGCTTTGAAAATGTCTTGAAGAGCTTAGGTTGCAGTGCATGTCATTCATGGCTTTTATTTTTTAGTACTTGTTTTTTATTTTTCCCCCTAACTTTTTGCTTGCAGAGACCTTTGTCTGGAAACGTGGTACAACATCAGGGGACCCACCATCTGCCCGCGATAGCCATACTTGCTCGTCTTGGAAGAATAAAATCATTGTGATTGGTGGTGAAGATGGCAATGATTACTATTTGTCTGATGTCCATATCCTTGATGCAGGTTTCATTTTTTTTTAATTGTTCCATACATTCTTCTGTATATTCATGCATGTGTTTGGTTGTTTTAGTTTACCTGGATATCTGACTTATTACACAATTTATTTGTAAGAATCTGTTCATGGATTGACAATATACGAATCTAAGTTTTATGTTCTGCTTTTAATATTGTTCTTGACATTTTCTTTTTTGTACCAGATACTCTTGCGTGGAAAGAGTTGAACACCTCAGGCCAGATATTACCACCTCGTGCTGGGCACTCCAGTGTTGCCATCGGCAAAAACTTATTTGTTTTTGGGGGATTTACAGATGCACAAAATCTTTATGACGATCTCTACATGCTTGATGTTGGTATGTGTTACAGAATTGTTGATCATGTTGTCAACTTCAATCGAACATTTTATTTCTTGATATCATCATAGGATAAGGTTGCAGTGGTGGAAAATGGCATTAACAGACTCATTGTACATCCAGGCAGAAGCCTTTTGGAATTATTGTTTACCAAATTTGATATAGACCCCCAATTTAGAACTTAACACTATGTTCTTGACTACCTTAAATATGGACATTGGGATACTAAAAGTTGTTTCTTTAAATCCATAAGAATCCTATAAAAAAAATCTAAGATTCAACTACTTATTGTAAATTCATTTTCCATTCTCTTGTATGAGAATCAAGACTCTTCTTACATGAATTCTAGAACCCTGTGTGAGTTTCATTAGTTCTGCTGCTCACAATTATTTTAATTCTCATATCTTTTTCAATTTCTTTCCTTGTCACCTGAAACAGTTGCTACCTGATGAAATAATGTTACTTATATGTGTGGTTAGTTGTTCATATTTTATGTTTCCCACCATGGTGCAGATACTGGCATGTGGACCAGGGTGATAACTGTGGGTGATGGGCCTTCTGCTAGATTTTCTGTTGCTGGGGATTGTTTGGATCCCCTGAAGAGTGGTGTTCTTGTGTTCATTGGTGGCTGCAATAAAACTCTTGAGGCACTGGATGACATGTATTACTTATACACAGGTTTAATCTAAATATTGCATTTATTTTTAATCTAAATCATTACCTCTGATATGTGATTTGATCCCTGGAACTCCATAAATCTTTTTGCTAACCTTCTGCTGAGTTTCTAATAGTGATTAATGTGGTTCCAGGGCTTGTTGTCCGGGATGAAAGGAAGCCAGAGAACTTATCCCTAAGGAAGCAGTTGAAGCTAAAGTGTCAAGAACAAAATCTTAGTAATCTTGTACATGATAAAGCTGTTGTTAGAATTGAAGTCGGCAATGATGTGCACCAACCTATTCCTTTATCAAGTTATGGCCAACCAAGTAAGAACTATTTTGCTCACTTTCTGATTGATTCTCTTTATTTTATACCCCTGTATGTCACTCCTCTTCAAGTTGTGTTCTTTAAGGCCTTTTTTTAACATCAACTTTCCCTTTTTCTTTTCTCACTTTTCTCAAAGTAAGTATAGAAGCACTAAGTTCTCTTTCTTTAACCTCAGTCTTTTTTGAGTTCTTAATCTTATCCATATGTCAATAAGCCTGAACATCCCCATCTTGCAAATACTCAGACACACATGAAAGGAAATTAATTTTGTGAACTATGAATTTGCTTTTGTGTGATTGGTTATTGCATCTTACTTGATTTTCTTCTGTAATAGAAGAAAAGAGAAAGGGACTTTTGGGTTGCTTGTTACTTATGTTTTGTACTAAGCTATGCATGATGGTGGAACGTTCTTGGATACCTAAACTAAGCTCGATAAACTAAAAGAATGTTGCCTCATTAGTATGTTTAAACTTTTTAAAATTGTTATATACTTATATTACTTTTGAATTCTGCAGGAAGAGAAAATATTCCATTAAACCAAGTCCTGCTTCTAGGGAAGAAGACATTTCAAGCTAAGGTTACTGAGAGCTTCGCACATGGATATACCATTGAGACTGTTATAGATGGGAAGCCTCTCCGAGGAATACTTTTTGCAAACAAGCCCAGCTCTATCCATGTAGCCAATCATAATTTCAGCAGGTAGGAAATTCTTGCTGCATCCTTTCTTTTTTAACCGGCATCGGTTATGGTAGCAAATATTTTGAGATAAGTCTGGATTTTCTACCAGCATCAATTGCCATATAAATTACTTCTGAGATACTTTTGATTTATGTCTTAATATTGTGTAGTCATTTCAGAAAAAGGACTACTACGGAAGTTGGGGGTACTGTATTAAATGGTGATTGCAATACTAAATCAAAATCTTCTAGAAGCATGAGGCAGGATTTTGGAGATCATAAACAAGCTGATGTTCGTGAGAAGGATTCTTCATTGCATGAGACAGAAGCTCCTGCACCAGTTTCAAGGAATCCAGCACCTTCTGATCTATCAACCCATAAGGTTCATAGCTCCTTCCTTTCTATTTGGTCAACTAAAACTTGCACAAGAATTATGCTGGGTTCCCTTTACTAGCCAACATCTTGTGGGAAAATCCTTGAATATCTTTGTCAAAATTTGGATGACTGTTATGCAATTTGTAACCATCAAATTGCTACTTGTCAGCCCAGTTTGTTCTACTGGAACTATTGAATCAGTGGTTCATGCTTGTGCTTTTCAATTTTTCTCCTTTTGTTTCCATTGTCTCTTCTTTCTTTTATACACCCACACACTGACATTGCTTAAGCAGTTAGGTGGGGGTGTAAACAAGTCAAGCTACTCAGGCTCGGCTCGATGAATACTTGAATTTGACTCATCACTGTTAAGCTGAGCTCTAGCGCAAGCAGTAAGTCCAGCTGAGTTTGAGCTTTGTAACGCTTGATTGTGTGGCTCACAAGCTTTCTGGAGCATTTGAATTTTTTTAATATTTGTAATATTATGTACATATGCAAATTAAACATAATTTTTGTTTACATATTTTAAAGTTTTATTTGAATTCTGATTTCGAAACTGAGCTTGAGCCAGAGTCAAGTATTGAGCTCCTTACATAAGTTGATAATAATTGAGCCTAAATAAGTCGAGCTCGAGGAGGTCAATTATTTTTGTAGTTGAGCTTGAGCACAAAAATAGAAGCTCGAGCTTTCTAGATTTTGATTCGACTGAGCTTTGAGCCTGGCATTCTATCGGCTTGGCTTGGCTTGTTACACCCCTTAGGCCTTTTTCAATAGACATTGTAATACTAATATATGCTCCTTTTGTCGTGCAATATTTGGTGAATGTTACATTCTCCATCTTTAGTTTCTCTAAGGGCTTTAAAATGTTATACAGTTGTACCTGTTATAGCCACTCATCATGTGATTCATTAGTCAGTCTGTTGGTCTCCCATCAAACATCAAAATGAGTGGTTGATGGCATATGTTAAGTATGATTTGAGAAGTTTTTTTTGTTTGGGTTCTTTGCAGGACCCTGCAAACCAAGAACCATTGGTAGCTCATCTGAATTTAAACGATGATAAGGCAGGTGATGCACCAAACTCTGACAGTGAATTTCCGGAAGGGATTGGATCCCCAAGGGCTGGTTGTTCTGTCACCTTATCTCCAAGGCAAGGTATGAATGAATGGAAGAATCATTTAATTTACAGCCAATTGTAATGGCTTTCTGTACACATTTAAAAGGCAAAACACTTTCGTTTTTTTCATTTCATCACCTTCATCATTCTTTCCAGCTCAGAGCAGCTGGTTTATAACTTCCTGTATTCTAATTCTTAGCTTTAGGATTGGGTCATTTAAGGCCACGAGTTTTATGGTATTGGGTGACTTCTCTATTGACTAGCCCAAATTCCACAAGGAAGAGTTTGCGGGAAGCCAACTCAATTTTTTTAAGTTAGGAAGCGAAACAAATGATTTTCTCTCGCTCGATATTTAAACTTGATGTAATAACAGTTGTATTGCAAGTCATTTGAATTTTGTTGTTGCATATGAACATAGGGCATCTTCTGATGAACACAAATTCTTCTACTCTTGTGGCAGATGAGAGGAGACCAAACACCTTGGAGCATAACAATCCAGGAAAATCGTTATGACCAGTGAACAATCTTTAACTCCATTAGTGATGACTACTCAACATAACGAAATGCACAAGCCATGTGTATATTTATTGCTTCAAGGTGGTTATAGATGCATGACTGATGTATACTGAATCTGCTTACTTGCTAACTCTCACTCCAATTTTTGCCTTGTTACAACTAAAACTCATTTATCTGAGCTCTTACCTTAATGAAATCAAGGATTGAGTTTAGCTGCATGCAGTAGTTTTGTTTAGAACAGGTGATATCGTGATTATTACCTGCTTCAGATTGAGGTGGTTGTTGCAATGAGAAATGTGATGAGTTGAGGTTGAGCAGAATGCATTCACAAACCTTGCTTCATGCGGAGAATGCTGATTCTATCGGACAAGTACGTAGTCTGGGGCCAAATTATATTTGATGTAATGTAAAGCATTGGGCATTTTAGCGACTAGTCTAGTCTCGCCACTAGTTTGCTTTACATAAGATATGTGCATAAACGTTTGCTCTGGAAAGATGTGGTCCTTACATGGTAATCCATTACTTTTGCACTTGGTTTGCATGTTTAACCAGGCCACATGCAAATAATCGTAGAGCTTAAAAACTTGAAGTAATAAAAGGGCATAAGAAAATAGAGTCACATTGGATTATGCCACTGAGAAACGTATTTACCAAACCTCCTTCCACTTCTTTTTGCCAGACTCCAATAGCAAACCTAGCTCCGGATCTTCATCCAATGGCTTTTCTTTTATTATTATTGATATTTTTAAATATTTAATATTTAAATTATTTAAAAATTTTAAATAAAATTTTATTCTTATATTACATTTAATTAAATTTTTATAACTTTCCTTTAGATTAAATAAGATTTTATAATTAATAGATGATTAATTATCGATAATTAAAATGATATTTATCTTTTTATATTCATGTGACAAGTCAACGTAAAAATAACAAATGTTATTTTAATTACCCATAATTTGTTCACCAATTATCATAAAAATTTATTTAATCTAAAATAAAAATTTTATTTAAAATGTCTGAAATCATTTTTAAAATATTATATCCCGTTTATGTGTACATTAGTTACAAAATGGACTCTTATCCAGCAAAACCCCCAATCGGGGTAGCTAATGAGTAATTTTCTCATCAAAGACGTTGAATTTACATTTGAGTACAAGTTAAGTACCCAGGAAATTAAAAAATGGTAAATGTATCCTTGGTCCAACCTGAAATAGGCTTAGAAAACTATGTTATCTTTTTATCCAATGGACCAGAAGAAGAAAAGCAATAACTAATTAGCAATCACAACATAATATATTTGATATTAAATGGACGGATTAGATAAGTCTGGTCAACTGACAGTATGCAGTTGCTACGTTTAGGAAGACCATTAATTTTGGCTTTCCCAAAGTCTAAAATGTTGGAAAGAACCCAACATGCTAAAACCACCAAACCCGCACTACAACTCAAAATGTCTTCATTATGTAACAAGATTTATATATTGTTCGCCCCAAACTTTAGGACAGCATAACCAGCGGTTCCAAAGCCTCACTTCCCGTTGCCACCAAACAGGTAATCCAGGGAGGATCCACCGCCAGGCGCTGCATGAACCTTTGTTGTGCGCCGATCCTGTTTAGAGAAATTTGTCAAAGGATTTGCTGTGGCCACCTAAAAGGCAAAAAGTATATTGCAACTTGGTGTAGGGGTGAAAAATAAGTAGCAGCAGTCGAACATGTCAAATCTTGAATGATTAATGTTAATTGAGCACATGTACACATGCATGGTTTTCTAAAAACAGGAGCAATAAGAGAATCTAGGACAGTCCATTGGTAAGTTGCCCTCACCAACCAGAAAATATTGCACAATAATAGAAACCATAAAAGCTGCATTTGGGACTCAACATAGGGATTTTGGAAGGGGAAGGGGGGGGGGGGGAGTCAAACTGTAATTACCAATATTCAACATGTTATCTCCTATAATTCACATGATAATGGTGTACATGCAGAGTTTCACTTGACAGCTACTGAGCTACGGCGTATATTGTATTACTAGACTAGCAGCCCCCTATGCTGCAGCTGAAGAAAGGAAAATCAATGTAAGCTGCGGAACATAGCAACAAAGAGAGGTCAACCTCGCAACAAGAGGTAATGATTTCAAAACTTCTGAGATAGAAAAAGAAATGCTTTCAAAATATCCCAATATATAATTTTCCAATCACATATTCCAAATTAAAGACTCATCTAGGAGCTTCAGCATAGGTTTCAAAATTGACAACCAGTGAGAAATGCTGACAACATTAATATTATGATTACAATTATATACAAGGCATAAGGTAAACCTACCTTTCTGTCAAATTAAGTACAAGGGATATGAAAAACATTGCTGGCCTCTAAACAAATCATTCATAACAAAGTTCTTTATTAAAGTTTCTATATAACAGCTTTGCAGGTTGCTTACAGCATTTGTCTATTCTTGATCCAAAACTGTCAAGAGATGAACTCTAAAAGAACTACCTTCCAATACTCATGATGCAACAATGTGAACTGTTTTTCTCTTTTTCTAATTTGAAGTTAAAGATAGACAATCGTAGCAAATTAGCATCATTTATGAAAGCGAGAATGATATTTAAAATCAAGAAAACTAAGCAAAATTTGTCCATCAATGAATTTCAGAGTATTGTGTAGATTAATTGCAGACATTTGATCAAAAACTGCTAAAATACCGTTTAAAGACAATTGTGACTAGGGTTCTACCGTAAGAAAGTTGCCGCTATTCTGACCATCAGCACGGAAGTAGTTGTTTGCATTGTTCCCCGGAATGCCTGCTGGAACCTGCCTAGCAACATCTGCTGGTGGAGATGCAGTGGTGGACTTCTGTGGGGTTTCCTCAGCAACCTCATTCTGGGTCTTAGGAACTTCACTGATAGTGCTAGGGCCAGTGACATTGCCATTTGTGGTGGGTTTCGGAGCTTCTCCACTCCCAAAAAGGTAACCCAAAGAACTCTGTCCCCCACCACTGCTAACTCCTCGACCCATGATCTCTAAATTGGACTTCTACACAAGTAATCTACAAAGGAACGAATATTCCAGTCAATAAAAGTAGTACTATAGTTATAAACTCCAAAAGTAAAACACTACGTAGAATTGTTAAACTTCAGTTCCACTATCAAATTTGGAGCAATATTTACAAAAAAAACAAAACACGTTTTGTGAAATGAACCAAACCCCACAAATAATGCAGTAGGATTCCCCTATTTCATGGTACGGAACCCGTAAAATAATAAATGCAATTTATAAAAGCATACATCAATTTTGAAACAACCAAGACCATAGGTATAGATCATATAAAGGCTAAGCAAAACCCAAAGTCAATCCTAAAGCGAGACGGCCAGACGGCGGAACTAGCATTTTCCTATTCAAATATAATCTCACACTATGCTCACTTTCAGTTTGATGTGAAACTAACAGGCAAACCATTAACGACCATGAATGTCTTCCTTGCAACAGAGTGTAAGAAATTAACAGCAATAATAGATCCTAGACAGAAAGATGCAATTACAAAAATGCCATTTACAAGCATTATCATTGAGAAAAATCCACACGCAAAACACTCATCATAATAATAATTAAAAAAGATAACAGAATCGAATGACCAACTTACGATTTTTACTCAATGTTAGAGCAGAAGCAAGAAAAACAGACAGACCAAAATTGGGATTTTCTCGGGAAACAAACAAAAGGAAAGAAATGACAAAATATGTGAGTTTTTTTTTTTTTTTTTGAGTTAGCTTCACTCACCTTGTCTGTTCGGTGTCCTTCGGATCAGATCTGAGCTCTGAAGCGAAGGACGAAAATAGAAAGGGCGAAAGAGGGAGAGACGCTTCGCTCAACTTTAATTTATTGGTGGGCCCTCCTGTAGGATTTTTATTTTGTATTTTTTAATTTTTATTTATTTATTTTATTTAATATTTAAAAAACAAATCCAAAGATAACCCCTACTTCTTTTAATTTTAAATTTTAAAAATAGAGTTCAAATAAATTTACAAATTATACATTCACATTTTTAATTTAAAAAATATATTTAAAATATGATAAAAAATTTATCTCTTATTAACGTGAGATTTATGATATTTTATATTTATATCAATAAAAATTTAAATAGATGTTGATATAAAATATCATGAATTGAAACTTAAACTCAACTTTATACAATTTTAAACTTTAAAAATAAAATTTAAATAAACTTATAAATCACGTATTTATATTTTCAATTCAAAAAATATATTATAAAAAATTTATATTTATATATCTAAGATTCATCACATTTTTTTACTGATATGAGATATGTGATAATAATATTTTTATATTTTTTATTTAATTTAATTTAATATTAAAATCATTTTACAATATTCATTTGAACCGAATGAAAAGATTTTATTTGGTCGAAAACAATAAAGATGATTATTAATAGAAAAATGACAAATTTATTTGAGAATGGATGTTCATGGGCCGTACCTCTACAAGTTCAAGTCGGGTAGATTGGTTGGACATCTCAAAAGTCTAACTAATCCATCCACTTGCATTATATTTTGTTCTCAAATAAAATGATATATTTTTATTTTAAATATATTTTTTTTGACGAATATTTTAAATATATTTACCTACACAAAATACAAAGAATTAGTTCAACACCAGTTCTAATAACATTGACTTAAAACATTTCTTAAGATTTAACTTACATGGATGAAAATAATTTTTCCCTTGCCTCATAAATATTATTTTCATTTTAAATTATGAATTTTATATCTTTAAATGGAAAATATCAATCATTAAATATTATAGGTATAAGGAATGTGTATTAGTAGCTAATGAAATGCACAATGATTTCTTCTTCTTACGTATCTTTATTAATTAATTACAAGCAAAATTAGCACTACCTTAAGAAGATTTTTTTTCTTTTGTCATTTGCATTTTCATTCTGTTGTATTAATAATATATAATTTTATATTAATTTTAGAGATAAAAAATTTAAATTCTAATTTTTTGGAATTACGTGCATTTATATTTATATTTAATGTTTAGATACAATAACATGTTATAATATATAGTATAAATGATCTTCATTATCATTATTATTGTTAACTTATCAAGGTATAATCTAATTAGTACGAATATCTTCCTCTAGAATAAAAACTACAAGTAATATTTTCCTCTCAAAAATTGAAAAAGAAAGGTGTATTTATAGAGAGTAGAAACACATATGTATAATAATTTTTTATAATTGTTTTTTATCAATTAACAATTAATTGCTTAAAGTTTAACAAAAAAAAACCATTTTCACACAATGAGTTTGTTTGACTTGGCTTTTTTTAAGTTTAAAAACTATTACCAAGCTTTTATGAAAAATAATAAATTTTAAAATCAAACTAAAACTATTTAGTAAATTTTTTTATAAGTTTTTTTATAGATAAATTGTTTGACAAAACAACTTATATAAGCTTTAATTTTGATTAAAATCACCATAAAGAGTATTTAATAAAAAAATTTCTATTAATTACGAATTCTTTTGTTTATAGTGAAAAAAAATTAACTTTATTTTTTTATCTATTTAAAACAAATGTTTTGATAAAACCTTGCACATTTTCATCTTTTTACAACTTGTACTGATGCTTTGACTTCATTAGAAGACATTTGTTAGACAATATCAAAATACATAAGTAGAAATCGAAATATATCAACTAAAAAAGTAAATATTATTTTAAAAAATCAAATATTACAAATAACAATTCAAATAAATATAATATGAATAATAACAAATTCTTTCAAACACCAATTAAATTACACATAACAAGTAACACAAATTTAACGAAAAAGTAGTTTAAAGTTCAACATCAATATAAAAATAAACAAATCAAATTTTAAACTAATCAACTACTCCCACCATAGTTTTTTAATAGATTATGCTCATATACAATCCAATTTAGCTTATCACTCAAATTTGGTAAATAAATAAAAATGAGTTTTTTTTCTTTCCTTTTAATTAATTATAGTGCAAAATTAAATTCATTTGCACTCAATCTCTTTTTATTTTATAGAGATTTCAATGCTCAAACGCACTCCAAAATATTATATTGTCCTGTGACTTGTGATGACATTGAAATTTCAACACTTTCAATTGTATTATGACTTTATGCTGTATCACATAATTGTACCAATGTTCTTTCCAAGCTTGTTGCAGTCTCAATTTTCGTCTTATCCTTTGTTACATTTTTTTACCATTTATTCTAGCATCATTTTTTTCTTCTTTATTTGAGTGTTTACCATAGGGTTATCATCTTCATCACAATTAATTTCTTCAGTATCAAATTCAACACTATTTTGTAATAGAGTTAGATTTGCAGATTTGATAATATCTTCAATTAATACACCCACTGCGGTGTCCATGCATTTTGACTAATGGCTACTGCATCCCTAAATATAAATTTCAATTCATCAACATGTTCTACCCCCTGATACCAAAATCTAGTAAATTTTAAATTGACTTATGCAAACATCAAAGAGAAAAAACATTTTGAACGACGTGCATATGTAAAATAATATACTTTAGCTGAAATATATAAAATTTAAAATACTTACTTTTATTTTTGCTTCGCACCATGTGGCATCAGCTTTGATGGTGCCTATCTCGAGGTTCCAATCCAAACCTGTTTCTTTGCTCTTCAATTGTTTCCATAAAATCTATTCATTCCTTTTACGATCTAGACTATTTTTCAATTGTTTTTAGATAATATTTTTATTAGCATGAGTATTAAATTCTTCTACTATAACTTCTCATCTTTTAGTTTAAAATAAAATTTCTAGTTTTCCACACTTATTAATTTCATCCTTATAAACTTGAAGTAAGATTTTGGTAGTGGCTAAATCCTACTTTACATTATGTTTTGATTTTTTTTGAAATTTCAGAATTTGGTAGAGACATTTATTGGTTAACCATAACTTGCAACAAGATAAATAAAGCAATAAATCTTGTGTCATCTTTATCCAAAAATTGATTATTCAACCAAGTAGTCCATTAAGACCATATATGCATTACGCCAAATACAATTAAATTAAGATGCATAACAAGGCAAAGATGTTTGAAATTCACACAAATATATGTCACTCACAAATCATCCAACATTGATTCTAAATCTTGCATAACATTCAAAAACACTTCTAGTAAAATTTAAAAATACGCAAATTACCAAAAGTCATATCCACAAAAAGACAATAGTTTATGGGAAAGTAACTATTAGTTGTTTGGATACATTTTAATCATTTGCAAATTTAATGAAGTTCAATACAGATTAAGCCTTAATATATTTTATCTACAGTTTGGAATAGAAAACAAAAAGATAGTATTGGAACAAAAGCAACCAAATAAAACTATCGGGGATGTAGAGTTATCTTGTACTAATTCATTAACCATATGGTGATCTAAACTCAAAATAAAAAACCCTTCAGTCAAAATCTTTCAACAATTTTAATGGGTCTAGGATCTTTATCAAAAACCCAAAACGATAGCTTTGGTTCTTTAAGCGGTCTAATAAGAACTCAAATGCATATTTCAAAATTAAAAAATAATTGAATTGAGAAATAGAGATTTCAAAGCCTAAAAAAAACAACAAAAAGAAAATGAAAAACAAAATAGAAAGAAATAGAAAAATAGCACTAGAATGCAATTTTGAATTCTATTCTCTTAATTTTGTAAGAATAAAAAAATTTCAGATTTCGTTATTTTGGGTTTTATGTTTTTTCTTTAGCACTCTTTGTTGAGAGAAGCAGAGAAGAGGGAGATCGTGATTTGTTTTGGAGAGGGTGATTTGTATTGGAGAGAGTGATTTGTAGAGAGAGGGAGAAGGATTGAAATTCCGTATTTTTTGAAAAAATAATATTAAAATTGTTTTTAATAGATGAGGATATTTTTGTACTAAAAAAAGATTTTTTGAAAAAAATTGATATGTTTTTAAAAGAAGAGAAAAAAAATTTTTATAACTTTTTTTAAAGTTTTTGTTTTTAGATTTTGTTTTTTAAAAAAATTGAAAAATAAAAGGACAAACAAGAACTATATATTATAATATATAATTAAAACAAAAAGAAAAGATTGCACTTGTGAGACAAAGTTAGTAAGAGATGGATTTGACTCACAAAATTTTCACACTTTGTCTAATGTATTGCACTAATATGCAATAATTACACTTTCGAACCATTCACAACAAGTTAATGGGCTCAAGTGACCAAGGACTAACATCTTCGGGGGTTTGTTTTTGCAATTTTTAATGTTTTATTTATTTTATGTTAATTAATAAAGAAAATAAAAATAGAAACTTTTTCTTTATTCTCACGCTGAGTGAAGATGAACCAAATCCAAAAAAATAAGCGAGAAACACACAGGAGCATAGCTCAGAGACACAAACTCAAAAGAAGCTTTGATTAGGGTTTATATACTCCGAAAATACCTTTCTTTTTCTCTTCAAAAATGGTCTAAATTCCTATATTTTCCAAATTCTAGGGTTCCTTTTCTTTTTTTTTTTTTCCATTGTCTCTCCATTTTATCCACTTTCAACTGGTAAGCCACCGTTACTTTGATTTATTTCGTCTTCTTTTTTTCATTCGTTTATCTTTTTCCCTTTTTAACTTAGTTACTTCGATGCTGTTCTTTTTTTTTTTAATTAAATAGTCGTTTTGCCTCCTTAATTATTGGTATTTTTGGTTTTAGCTGTTTGGTTGCTGAAAAAGTTGATGGAAAAGAATGGAAAACGGAAAGTTTCGTTTTTGTTTAAACTTAGCTTTGCAGAGTTTCCTTATGGATTTGAATAGAATTCAACATTGATTTCAATTCCAGAACGTGGCATTTGAAGCTTTTTCAGCCTTTGCTGTTTTTTTTTTTGACAGGATTGAATGCATTTGAAATATGTAGGTTAGAGAATTTTTTTTTTGTGAATAAAGGAAGTGATTTTGATATTGCTCGGTTATATTTTGCTTAGTAGTTTGAAATTTGAAGGAATTGAAATCGAAATTTAAAGCGATATGCTTCTGATTTCCATTTGTTCTGGTTGGTTCTGGTGAAATATATTTGATTTTGACTGTTTAATGTGTAAGTTGAAGAGAACAACTTGTTCAGGTAGTTCTGAAATGCAATTCATTGCTTTATAGGTTTGTGCTGCTTCCTTGTTGGATTCCCTATTGTTTTGTGTGTTTGGAACTGGCTTTCACTTAGTTGTCAACCTTTTTTTTTTACCTATTCTCTGATTTGGATGTGATTTTCCACAGGGGATTTAGAGGCTTGAGTTTAAGGCTACACCTATTCAACCTGCTTTTTGTGCTAGAACTTTTGGTTTCAGTAATACTATTAAGAGATGTATACTCAAGGGAGTCATAATCCTCAGCCACAACAGGGTACTCAAAAGCCCATGTCATCCCTATATCAGCAGCGCCCACCAGGTCCACCACCTTCTCTACCTCACTTCCAGCAGGGCCCATTGGCCTATGCATTGTATCAGCATGGTCCTGCTGCACCTCATCAAATTCCACCTGGTGGGTTGCCAAATACAGGTCAATCTTATCTACACCCACCCATGCATGTTCATCGAGGTGCTTTATTGCCACATATGTATCAGACTGCTCAACAGAACTCACAACATCATTCACAGTTAGGGACACAGAATGCACATAATATGCCACAACTGGTGCTTCCTTCTCCTATTAGTGCATCTCACACAGAGCTTTCACAGGCCCAGCCACATCCTAGAGCATTACCTCCTCCTCCTCCTCCTCCTCAGTTACAAGGACAAACATTTTATAGAGCTCCAGTGAATCCTCTGCCTCAGAAGCCAGGACTTCCGCATATCTCATCACATCCACCCCTCCCTCCTACAACTAGTTTCTTTACTCCAGCTCCACTAGGAAGCCTTGTACACTCAACAGGTGGAGACCATAATGTGCTGTCTACGGCTTCCCTTCCACTACCACCTCCACCCTCTTCTTCACCGCCTATTCTACCATCTCCTCCGCCTTCAACCTCTACTCCTTTTTCATCTTCTAAGCCTGTCCAAATTTCTTCCAACTTGCCCTGTAATTTGGACTCAGATGGCTCTAAGTTAAGTGCTTCAGGTTCCATGGATGAAGTTGCTGCTCCAAATCAGGTCAAACATAATTTAATTGCAGATAATGGCTCTCTGAATAAGGGAGTGGGGAATGGCTGTGACATGGGTTCTCTGGTTGGAGATAAGTTATCGTTAGAAGAATGTTTGACAAATGATCACTCTTCCACTCCTCTGAAGCCAACTGATGAAAAGGTTGTTGAAAGGATTGAAGCTTTATGCCAGTGTATTGCTAAGAATGGTCCTGATTATGAGGAAATGGTTCGTCAAAAAGAATCTGGCAAGCCAGAGTATGCATTTTTGCATGGTGGTGAGCTGGGAAGTGAGGCTGCAATAGCACATGATTTTTTCCAGTGGATGAAAAAGAAAAGTATTTTGTCATGTAAATTAGATGAACAGCAAGGGAATTCAACTTTGACGCCTTCAAAAAATGAGCCTTCAGAGCAACCATTCAATTTGGTGATTGCTGCTGCGTCTTATTTGCCTGATGATTCTGACATGGAGATGGAAGGTTGGCATTTTTTGTTATAGTTATGCTTCCTAATGGTCAGAATTATTTTAACTTCTGCTTCCTAATGTTCAGAATCCTTTTAGCTTTTGCTTCCTATTGGTTTAGAATCTTTTAACATCATGTAAAAATATTTTCCATTTTATGTGTTATGAGCTCCAAAAGAATCACTACTGATCTTGTTCGTATAGACTTCCTTGAAACTTATTAATGGTAACTCAACCAGAGCACAAGTCATATTCTATTAGGGATATCCAAAGATGTTATGTTATGAACTGTGTTTTTAAGTATATTATCTGATTATTAGTACTATCTACTTACAGTTGCATGCTGATTTTTTCTATATTTATTTTTTCTTTTTTCTGGTGGGTGATGTCAAGATGATATCACCCAAATTGATGATGAGCAGGAAACAAATCGGTCACTTGGAGGCCTGGACAGTCAGTGTGATATCAATAACAACATGCTTAACGTAAAAGAGCAGTTACATCCACTGAAGATATCAGCAGAATGCAATTCATACAAGGATGTTTCGTCTGAAAAAGAATCAGCTGCTGGCAGTTCAGGATTGGGTGAACAAGGTCAATTTAATATCTAATTATCATATTAAGCCCTCTTTGTTTTGCTTGTCCTGTTTCCCTAGTATGTATTTCATTTACAAAATTGTTTGCTTTATAGAAATTAATCACCTATCAATTTTTACTTGCTGATGGCCCCAGAATGCTGTTTTACCTAGTTTTGTAATATTCCAGAATATTCATTGACATGTCTTTGTCTCATGTAATTTGCTCTTATTTGTTGTATGTTTAGTGAGTTTTAAAGATTTTTCCCTCTTAAATTTAGGTCCAGAAGGTATTGCCAATGCTGACAAAGAGGCAATTGGGGCAGCAGTTTCCAAAGTTATTGCAGTCAAGAATTTAGCTGTACCTACCGAGCAGCCCGTAGTCACTAGTTTGGAGAAATTAGATACTTCCAGTCAACTTGCAAAAGGTGGCAGTCCATTCAGACTTCTGCAAGACTATGCTTCTGATGACAACTCAGAAAAAGATGTTGAGATCTGCATTGAAAGTACACGTGTTTCGTTAGGTGCTAATTTGCATAGAGATGCTGGGTCTAGTTTGGAGAATGTTAGTAGTCACTGCATGACTGAAAAGGGGTTTGGACCACTCTATATATCAAGCATGCCATGTGCAGTTGCGAGTTCAGAAGTGGTTGAAGGCACTGTCACAACCACTAGTGTAAATGGGAATGAACGTGCTAATAATAAGCACGTACATCAAATTTCTATTTGTCATGCTGCTTCTGTGGAGGTTTTCCAGAAGGAAAATGTCATGGTTGGTGCTAGTGTTGACAGTGCTAGGTTTAGCAAGGTAAATAGGCAAGAGGAAGAAAATGGGACTCTTGGTTTCACTCAACAGAAAGTAGATAAGTTTGGGCGATTGGCCAGGGATGGTGCTAGTGATAGTGATGATGATTCACACTATATTGGGACGCATAGAAGAGGCAGAAGTTGGACCAGAAGTCAGAGCCGTTCACCTCCTGATAGAAGAAGGAGAAGTCCACGGAGGAGAAGGGAGAAGCGAAGCAGATCTCGCAGGTATTTATTTCAAATTGTTTGTCTGTTGGTTTATGGCTTGGAGTTTTTTTTTTTTTTTAATTTATCTTTTAGGAAATATGACATCTTAAAAAGAGTTATCTTCCTTACAAACTCATGTTGCATTCCTTGTTTATGAGTTGTGGAAAGTTTTAAATTTCTTGCTTCTTGTTTTAGCTGGTCTCCAAGAAATCGTAGAAGCAGGAGCAGGTCTCTGAGAAATCGTAGAAGCAGGAGCAGGTCTCCCAGAAATCGCAGAAGCAGGAGCAGGTCTCCTAGAAATCATAGGAGCAAGAGCAGGTCTCCTAATTTTCGGCGGGCAGGTAAATTCATTGGTGAGAATAAGAGACGAGTGAAGGGACAGATGCCTGACTGTTTTGACTTTCGTCGAGGCAGGTGCTACCGCGGAGCATCTTGTCGTTATCTGCACCGTGATTTTAGCAAGGGTGATGAACCATTGCGGCAAAGGAACAAACAGCAGTATCTGGAGTTTCCTCAGAGTTCTAGGACTAATATTCCTGAAGAGATCAAGCGGATCTCTGAGAGGGTAGGTGATCACGATCATGATGAAGTTAGAGATCCAGAAGTGAAACCGTATAGTGATTTTTTCGCTTCAAGAGATATGAATATTAATCACAAAAGAGAAGATTCTGTTGGTGGAGGTGTTAATATTAATCACAAAAGAGAAGATTCTGTTGGTGGAGGTGTTCATAATCAAGATAGTCAATCAACTGAGTATCACATAGTTACATCTGAGAAATGTAGAGATATTCCTGCCCCTGTGTTCGGAGGACATTTGGTAGAAAACAAGCAGGAAGGACCTAGTGCTGTCACTAACGAGGATTGTCAACAAGCAGCAGAATTGCACCACCCTTCAATTGTTGATGCCTCGTCGGTTGGTTATATTGATAAACTGAAGTCATGTGATAATGCCTCTATGAAAATACTTTTGTCTTTCAAAAATTCTGGCCAGAAGTCTCTCTCCAGTCCTTTAGATCAGGTGTGTCAAAATGCTGATTGCCCGCCTCTACAATCAGATAACTCATCTATATCTGATTCTTCTCCACTTAAAACTACTACATCCTCACCAAATAGGCATACAAAGAGCAATGCTCATCCAAATACAATGGAGCTCTATAATCATCCTTCTCAAATACCCTCCCCTTCTTTCCCACACTCACAGTGTATAGATAATCCACATATGAAACAGCATCAGACTGCATCTTCCATGTTTCAATCTTCTGGGGAAAGCTTTCCTTCTTACATGTTACCCAACCAACATTCTTACTTTGCTCTACAGCCAAATTCCTCTTCAACTTCCTTGCCTCCACCATCACCATTGCCACTACAGGATGCAACTGTAAATTCAGGAACTGTAACTCCTGGCGTTTCTTCACATTTTCAGCAGAGTCACTTGCCTCTGAGGAATGATTTTGGTTCCCAGATTGGTCCAAGATCTTACCCAACTGAATTTCCTGTACATTCTCAGTCTGATGGGTTTCAGCAACAAGCTTATCTACCAATTCGGGAAGCAAATCGACCTTTCTTGCATGCTTCTTTGCCTGTCTATAACATGCCTATTCAACAATTTGGAGCTCCTAGTATGTCTAGAGATGATGGCTTAACACAACCTCCAACACACAATGTTATTGCTTCAAATTCCTTTGCTCAGGGCAACACTCATCCTCATACTATACCCTTTTCAGAACAGTTGCTGGGAAACAAAATGCAACCATTTCCTGGTGAGAGTTTGCCATCAGGTGTCCTTTCAAACTCGTCTTCATATATTCATCCTTATTCACAGCAGCAACAAACACCAAACAGTTCACAGCACCCTATGGTTGACAATATTCATAATCTTACTGGGAAGATGAATTCTTCCATGAAAGATCCACCAGATATTAGGGACACAACATCCCACCATGTTGATATTGGAGGATCAACTAGTTCAACTTTTCCTGATCCATATGCATCTGCACTTGACCAGCCACTAAATTCTAAATACAGTTCTGATGTTCTCAGGCAAGAAAAAGATAAAACCTACAATAACAGTCCTTTCAGTTTGACTCATGGTCCGGTCGATGGGAGAAGTATTGGATCACAACAAGCAACTTCCTCACCCAATTCTGCTAGGGCCATTGGGCAGAATTTTCCTAGATCAGGTGGTGACCAGTATGATCCTCTTTTTGATAGCATTGAGCCATCTTCAAGGTTATCCAGAAAATTTGATTATATTCAAAAGTTGGAAGTGACTGGTGATTCTGACATCTTATTGGGGCTTACCGGTTCCAACAAACCATTGGATATTGAGGAAAATGACAAGAGGAAAGATGGTGGAGCTGCTGCTTCTGCAGCATCTGCAGATAATGAGGAATTTGGTGAGACTGCTGATGCTGAAGTGGGAGACGTTGAGAATGGAAGCCCTAGTAATCAAGTTGAAGTTAACATGACTACTGGTGAGATTGAGATTGATCAGATAAAGTCTCCAGGGAAGAGCAAAGAGAACAAAGGTTCGAGATCAATGAAGCTTTTCAAGGTTGCCCTTGCAGATTTTGTAAAGGAGGTTTTAAAGCCATCATGGCGACAGGGTAATATGAGCAAGGAGGCTTTTAAGACTATTGTCAAGAAGACTGTTGATAAGGTGTCAGGAGCTATGAAGAGCCACCAGATACCTAAATCTCGTGGAAAGATTGATCAATACATTGAGTCATCTCAGCGGAAATTGACGAAACTTGTGATGGTAAATTCTCATCTGGTCCTTTTTATCTTCTTGCAGAAACTAACATGGCAAGGGTCATTTTATGTGATGTACTTCTGCAATAGGGGCACACTAAATTTTTTTTCTCTCTCTTTTTTTCTCCCCCAAAAAGACATGCCTGGGGCACACTAAAATTTGTTTGGGTATGTTTTGATAATTTGATTTATTTATTTTGGTTGGATTATTTTATGTTTATGCTGTGAGAAACCATGCATGGAATCAACTTGAAGCTTCCTTAGGCATGCATATGTTGCAAAAGAGAAGGCAGTAATGTTTAATGAGTGCCATGCCTATTAGTGATGACCAACTTCTTTACAGTTGCCTTCATTTTTGATATTTTCAGTGACTTCTCACACATAATCATGACTACTCTGTTGGAGAAGTTGACGCTTGACTTTTCTTTCATAAAGTTCCATAGAGCTTAAACTAATGGCTGAAAGGTTGATTTGTGCAGATTGTTGGTTTTGCTAGGTGTGGTGATGATGTTTTAAATTCAGTTTTATAAAATATTTTCGCATCACGTGTTTGCAGGGTTATGTTGATAAGTATGTCAAAGTGTAAGACTTGGCATCAACATTTTGATCCCTGGCATTTTCACTGGAGTAGACTTCTGATTAGACACGTGAGTTTCTTTCCTTCCATGTGCCTGTGGCATTGAAGCTTTGAAAACTAATGTGTTTGTTGCAGCGCTTTGAGAAAGGATGAGAAATTTTGAGTTGGTGATGTTAGAAGTTGGTTTGTATAGTCTGTAAAGGTGATCAAGGCAAGAGATTATTTATCAGTCTCAGCAAAACCCAAAGGAGGATCCAGAAAGGTGTGTTTAATTTTCACATGAATATGATGAACATCTTGTCTTTCTTTTGGTTAAAAATAGTGAACCAAGAACGAAAAGGAATCAAGTTTCTATAGTATTTTGTTTGTATATCATTCCCTGCTTGTAGATATCTAGTGTTTTTCATTGGCTATGCGATCATTGTGAGGAGAAGTGATGCTTTATATGGAAACTTGCATATGTCAAAAGGGAATTGGTTGAAGATCCCGAATACAAGATTCATTAGCCAATTGTGTTGTTCATTAGGTGTGCATACAGAAAAGGAAAACCTGCCAAGTTCTTAAGTGCATGGAATTTTTCTTTTGCCTAAATGGACTGATTTTCAATTAACTTTGATGAAATGGAAAATTGACCCTTCCAGATCTTGGTTGGTCTTGTTTTCGATTGTTACAATGAAATGGAAAATTGATGCTTTTGCTTTTCCAAATAAAAATTAACTATTATCTTTTTGTTCATACCAATTTAATCTCCTTCTCTTGTTTGTTTCTCTTTTATTTTTTCGCCTCCTGTTTTAAATTATTTTGGGCAAGTGCCAATAATACAAAACAGAATCGGGTTTTTAGGATTGAGTGTTAGGTTGATTAATTAAATTAAGGCACATTTTTATATCTTGATGATTTTGAAAAGTCCTCACCACTTTCTTTTATTCGTGTATAATTAATTTTTTTTAATAAAAAGTGTAAGTTTCGATGTGTAAAACACAAACATTTAGGATTAAGAATCTTTCAAGAAATTTGTCATAGAAATTTTCTGGAGAAATTCTATCATATGTAGGATTTGCAATTTTTATAATAAACTATGGAATGCGTATTTCTTTCAATAAAAAATTGTATTATTATTTTCTTGATAAATATTCATTTTTTTCATAAAACAATTACTTTATTCTGTATCAATCTCGCAATTCGTATGTGAAACTCGAGGAAGTGGCATCCCATATATGCATAAGGAATTTTGATAAAATTAGCGACGAAATTATGAAGTTTTTACACACGGTTCAAGGGATTGCGTAGGCACTCTCAACAGAATGCGTTTGTGCTTTCGACGGAATTGTTATGAATTTTTTACAAAATTAGGTTAGATTTTCTTTAAAAATAATGAGCTATTATGTTGGAATTTCATTAAGAGTTTTATCGAAATTTCAGTGGAAATTATTTTGATAGAAATTTTGTCTTTCGACAGTTTCTATTTTTCAATGAATTTATTGACAAACATATCGATCGGAGAATTTTTCAATAAATTTTGCTAAAATTCAATGAAATCAGATTATCAATAAAAATTTTTGTCGATTAATTTTTTAATGGAAAATTCATCCACAAAACGAATATCAACAGAGTATTGTTCCGAACATATGACACAAGATTATGAAAAAAAATAAAAAAAAAAATCAAGCGGGGTAGTAAGGGCGAGTGCGTGCAATGGATTTTATTTAGATCTGAACCAAGCTGGCGGCTTTTATGGTTCTCCATTTCCCATATCTTCCTATTTCCATCTCTCTATTCTTCGAAAAAACCTGAAAACCCTCTCTTATATAGTTTTGTTTGAAGAGCAAAGCCCCTCTCTTGCGTACTCCAAAAAGGAGGTCGTTTTGGTCCCAACTGAACCAACAAGGAAAGCTGTGAAAGTGGCTTATCATTCAATTGCAATAATAAACAAAAAGCCTTATTCATATTTCTTTTATTAATTTTCACTTGTGTTTGGGTTTTAGAGAGAATGAGGAACAAAACAGTATAACCCTACACTGCAATGCAACAAGTGGGCAGCGCTGCTTAAATTTACGGTACTCTTTCAGAATCTTCCCCCCTTTTCTCAGAAACCTTAATTAACTTAACTTATATTTATTGGTTTATTGGTGAGGAAATTTTTGCTTCTTCGATTCAAATTTCTCAAATATAGCTCCAATCTAGTGTTTCTGTCTTTTTTTTCTTTTTTTTTTGGGTTTCTAATGTTCGCTTAATAGAAACAGGAGGACCAACCTTCAAGTTATATGAAAAAATGGAATCGAGTAGTGTTCCAGAGTCATCGCTTTCCAATGTCAAATCGAGTCGTTCAGAAAAGAATAAAATGAAGAAGCAGAGGAAGCATCGGGCTATCCAAAATGGCAGTGCTGAGTTGAAAGAGGAAGAAACTTCTTTGGGAACAGATTCGAATTTAGAGTCTAAGGCGGATGTTAGTTTAGATTCGGGGTTGCAGGAAGGGGAAAATTGGTCAAGTAAGGATGCTTGTTTAGAAACAGAGCATTTGACTCGTATGCGTAGGAAGAAAAAGAGGAAAGAAAATTCTTTGATTGATGCGTCTAAAGTCAATGTTAGTGTAGAGTTGGGGTTGAAGGAAGAGGTGCATTCATCAGTGAAGGATACTCTTGTGGAAAGAGATTCACATTTAGGGACCCTGGAGAATATTGGTTCCAATTCTGGATTGAAGGAGAGTCAATTGAATGAGCAGCCGGCTCATTCAGAAAGGAAAAGAAAGAGGAAGAAGGATCGTAAAAAGGCCGTACGTGGGCAAAATGGGGAAGAAGGGCCAAAGGCTGTTCTATTGTTCAGAGACGGGAAGGAAAATTCCATTATAGATGAAAATCTAAGTCATTCTCATGTGGAGTCTAAGGTGAATGTTAGTTTAGAGTCAGTGGAGAAAAGTAGTTTAGAGCCTGCATTGAACGGGAGCCAATTGAATGAACAACCGGCTGATTCAGAAAAGAAAAGAAAGAGGAAGAGGGCGCACAAAATGGCTAAAGCTGGGCAATTTGAGAAATTGGATCAGAAGTCAGCTGTAGAGCCGAGAGATGGGAAAGAAAATTCTTTGATAGATGAAATGCAAAGTGCTTCCTGGGACGAGTCTAAGCTGAATGTTAGTTTAGAGTCAGGGTTGAAGGAAGGGGCAAATTCATTAATGGAGGATTCTCTCTGGGAAAGAGATTCGCATGTAGAGACTTTGAATAAAATTAGTTTAGGGTCTGTATTGAAGGGGAGTCAATTGAATGAACAACTGGCTCGCCCAGAAAGAAAAAGGAGGAGGAGGGGGAAGCGTAAAGTGGCTAAACCCGAGCAATTTGAGAAATTGGATGCAAAGTGTGTTTTAGTGTTGAGAGATAGGAAAGAAAATTCTTTGATAGATGAAAAGCAAAATGATTCTCATATGGAGTTCAAAATGCATGTTAGTTCAGAGTCTGGATTAAAAGAAGAGGCGAATCAAGATGTGGAGACTCTGGAGAATATTAGTTTAGAGTCTGGAATGAAAGGAACTCAATTGAATGAACAAACAGTTCAATCAGAAAGGAAAAGGAAGAGGAAGAAGGAGAAACAAGAGAGGACAAGGCTTAGTGTTCTGGAGGATAATGATGTTAGCTCAAGGAGGAATGACAGGGATGATAATGAAGCTGAAAATAACAATATGTGTCCTGTAACTCAAATAACTAATAGAAAGGAGGATCTTATGTCTATTTCAGAAAATGTAGAGTTGAAAAATATGAAGGGAAATTCTCTGATACCTGATAAGCAAAGTGATTCTCCACGAACTGCAAGTACCAGTAGGGTGAAAACACAAGATCTCCGTGTTGATGGGGATCTTGTTATTCCAGAATTAAAAGATAACAAAACCTTTCAGATAGGGAAAATTGTAAAAACGTATCACAGGAAAAGGAAAAAGTCTTCCGATCTCTTGGGAGATACTTTTGAACCTGTCCAGGAGAATGGTATGATACAGAGTTCAATTGACCATTTAGAAAAGGAACCTACAACTGGCATATCTGAAAGAAGGCTACATGGAGTACTGCTTGGGGAGCATGCTATGCCAGCTCGGCTTTTGGAGGAAGCTTTTGGCAACAGCACAGGCAGTGAAGCTGCACTCAAAGGAAGGAAAAGAAAAAGAGCAAAGAAATTGAAGGAGTCTTTGTGCAAGTATCCAGACCAAAAGGATGTCAAGGTAGAAACCAACATGGAAGAATTTATTCCTTCTCCATCAAACTTGGTTGTCGCAAAAGATGACGTTGCACTAAAGGCTACCGTTAAAGAGAACACTTTGTCACGAACATTGTACCCTTCGCTAGAAAGAATATGCAGCAGTCATCCTAAGAAAAAGCTTCTTGTGCTTGATTTGAATGGAATTCTTGTAGATGTTGTTCAAAACCCAGGTGAATTCAAGCCGGATATTAGATTATCAGGGAAAGGAGGTAAAATATGATATTTAAAGTAGAAGCATTTGAATTTTTTTTTTTTTGTGCCCTTCCATTAATTCTAATTTGACCGTTGCTCACTGTTTTTTTTTTTTGTTTTCAGTTTTTAAGAGACCATTTTGTGATGATTTTCTCGAGTTTTGCTTTAGGACATTTAACGTTGGAATCTGGTCATCAAGAATTAAGTATGCTCCTGCCTTTGCATGGGAATCTTTTTACATAGTTAACCATGCTTTCTTTAAAGATGCTATGTCACATAAGTGCACCAGAGAATGTAATATTCTTTCATGATCAGCATTGTGCGTTGACCATGTTGCTATTAATTGTTGTTGCAGTAAAAATGTGAAGAGGTTGGTTGGTTTTCTTCTGAAGAAATGGAGACGTAATCTGCTTTTCTGTTGGGTAAGTAGCATCTCCAGCTGTTATTTATCTATTGCTGATAAATGTGATAACTTGCCAAAATTTTGGTTAGCTAATTATTCTATAACATTTTCTACTTTTCTTTTTCATCATGTGATTTGGCCTTCAATCAATGAGCTATTCTCACATGATTAGTTAATCAAGTAAGGTGGTTTCATCTGTTTGGTTCTTTCAGTTCTGTCGACATTTTGTAACCGGTAACAATTAGTTTGTGGTTTTTTAAGATAAGACATACTTAAACTGAACTGAACAATATACAAATTACATATATTATAAATAGAGTTTTTATATACTTAAATATCTACCTAAATACAAATACATCCATATGTTATGAATGTATAATCATCTAACACTTAACACATATTAATGCCCAACAGCTCTAAACCTATCCAATCTGGCCAATTGGATCCCAAGTATGAATGCTCAAAGTAGTACATAGACGAAACTGAACCTAAGTAGCGTGGTTCATTTTATTTTATTTTTAATTAATAAATTCTGTTTATGTTGGCTGTTTCTAAAAATCAAACACTTTTAGTAAAGTTTAGTTTGACTAAAAAGGAACTGAAGCCACACATAGACTGCTGTGGGGTTAAGTGTCATGAAATTTGTTGTAATATTTATGAAGACTAGCTATGTTATGGCCAACTGTTGGCTAAGGTTTCTTACTTATTCTATCAACATCCACATATAGGGTTGCTTTATAGTAGTGACTTTCTCATTGGAAGTCCTTTGCTTCTTCACTATCATCTTTTCTTAGCATCTACCTTGAGCTGATTTGTTTACAGTTCATCCCTCAATGTTTTTACTAGAAGGCTGCTGTGTTTCTGCAAATGTGAACTAATAGAAAGTCATTTCATAGACAAATTAGTAGCGAACTGGTAGATTCTGCTCTTTGGAGTTTCATATTGATATGCTACCATACTTGTTTTCAGCTGCAATAGTAAGTTATCTAGCTTCTAATTGTCTAGGTTTGATAATAGAACAAATCAAAGATTACATCCATCTATCTTCCTATTGCAAGCTTAAAAGGTTGGCATTAGGGTAAACCTGAAGTCTGCTAACAATATCTATTATGTTAATGTCTGATATTACGTTTAAGTAGTGTGCGGTTGCTTTTCCATTAAAGATTCTGCTTGCAAAGGTTTACCATATTGCCAATCGTGAGTGATATTACTGTTCTTGTAATTTTTTTTGAAAGCACTATTCTTGAAATCTTCATCATCTTTTGTAGACGATCCACTAAAAGCAGTTTCTTTCCAGTTATATTCATATTGCATCAATGGGTTTATGCTGTGTATAACTTATTGATATCATGATGTGAGTTTCATGCAGCATCGAAAGCAATGTACAAAAACAAAATTCAAAACCATTGAGGATAAGAAAAAACCGCTTGTTTTGAAGGAGCTAAGTAAATTATGGGGGAGGCAGTCACCTAATGTTCCATGGGAGAAGGGAGAGTATGATGAATCAAACACATTATTGTTGGATGATTCCCCATATAAGGCTTTGCACAATCCTGTGAGTTTTTAATTATTATTCTTCGATTTGATTATGCACTGGGGGCATGTGACTTCTTTAACACCTCAGATTGTTGAAATTCGAATGGTGCTCTAATACTAATGCTAGCCTTAATCTTTTCATTGTTAGGCAAACACTGCTGTATTTCCATATCCTTACCAATACAGGGATACCAAAGATTCTTCATTAGGTGAGATATGGGCTAGCATTTTTTGGAAATTAAAGGTACACAGAAAGATAGACTGGCATGTAGTATCTAAGCCTTGCTTGGTCATTCATAGGGGGCATATGGTTGATCTTTTCTTTTTGTCCTTATTCACAGTAGAGAAAAGGTAATAGTAGATCTTGTTAAGTAGGTTCTGTAAATCCTACCTTACCTCTATTGAAACCTTAAACTTGTTGGATCAAAGTACTTTTTTGCAGGTATCTGTGTTTTAAAGCTGCATTCACAGTATGGAACAGTGAAGTTGCACGATACCAGTTTTCATACTTGTGTAGTTTTCTAGCCATGATCACAACTCACTTGTATGAATGTTTATCATCTAGGTAGCGTGAAACATCATTGAGGGAAATCACATTGAATTATAGTCGACCTTGGCTGTTGTTGCTATTTTTCATTTAAGTTTTGCAGGATCAACGAATTCTGTGAGCCTGGGTCCTCAAAAAAATTCTCTTCCAATGTCTTGGGATACAACGAATTTTGGTTTGCCTGTAATTTGGACATATACCTAGTGATGTTTTATCCCATTTGAGCCTGATAAGAAAAAAAAAAAAAAAGAGCCAAAAACAAAAGAAAGAAGCTAGTGGTTCTATGGATCATTACCCTGATAAGATAACATCAGTTCATGTTACAGATCTGCTATTGGAGTTTGCCTTTATGGTCATCTGTAGTGTACCTAATTCCTTTATTTTATCTTTCCTTGTTTACACGTGTTGTTGCAATTGTTATCGTTAAATGATGTATGCAACAGGATGTGGAGGAGATATTCGAACATATGTGGAAGGGTTAGCTGCGGCAGAGAATGTTCAGAAGTACGTTGAGCAAAATCCATTTGGGCAACCGGCTATCACAGAGTCAAATCCACATTGGGATTTCTACTGCCAAATTATAGACAAAAAGAAATGACAAGCCCCTTAATTCCCTTTGCTGATGTTGTCGGATTTTGCAGGATAAGTTGTAAAATAAATCCTTTAATTGGGTGCCCTTTTGAAGTGATGTTAGCTGAGATTCATTTGGAGTTTGTTCCAATGTAACAGTAGAACACTATAGGCTTTTTTGTAATTGCAGCTGATCGTAAAACCTTTTCGGCCTTTCATAATTTACACTGGCTGCTTCCACCTTGAGATGGCCTTTTTTCCCTTGATATGGGCACGAGCCTGGAAAAGTGCCAACAATTTTGCTCTTTAAAGGGTTCCAAATTCCAAGAAGAGCAAACGATGGTCCGGGAACAAATACGCAGTGAGTGATTAAAGAATATTGGGGATGGTACAACCAAATTAAAATGGTGGATGAAGGAGATCAACATCAGTCAATCGCATTCCACGATTTCTGTTTTCCTTTCTTCTCTTTTCACATGATAGTGACTCTGCAACTTGGAAAATCAAATCCCTAAAATTAATATTAATTGAAAGGCAGATAGAGATGTGTGCATATGTGTACGTACATGTGTACACGTATAGATATTAAATCATATGGATTTGAAAATGAAGAGACAGATAGAAACGTTATATGTAAATAAGATTAAATTCTGATATATATATATATATATATATATATCAAAATTTAATGTTTCATGTTTGGATTATTAAAATTTGATACTTTTGATGGTTTAGAATTCTTTAAAATTTCTGATAAATATTAAAATGATATACGTATTCGTTGATAGATTCTCTCGTTAATCTTTGATGTTCCTCGTTGCTGTCACCATCATCCCCTGATGCAAAGTCGTTGCCATTGACTGCTGAGCAGGAATGTGAAGCCCAACCACCATGTTTGGATAGCCTAGACTCGGAGGAACATCTCAAAAGTAGCACATCCTTTTATTATTCGTTTGGATTCAGAAGAGTAGATGGCAAACAACTATGGCTCCATGTGCCCCCAACCTGTTGTAGTGGGGCCTGTTATGATCTCATGCTCTGTTTTACCCTTTTTTTTGGAAAAAAAAAAAATGACAAGTCTCGCGGACCTACCAGCACCCTAATTTTGGGCCCACCCTAATAACTCACAGATGTGGTTTGCCCCACTCTAAAAGCCGGGCCCAATAGACAGCGAGGAAATAGCCCATTAAATCCAATTAATTGTTGTTGGTAATTATGGTTCTTAATTAATCCCTGCTGCCATTTGCTGTTTCTTTAGGTCCTTAACCAATCCAATTTATTCTTCATATGGTTGTTGGTCACACCCTTAATTATTATTTCTAAGCCATGTGCCATAGATGTGTTTGGATCCTGAATGACCTGTAAATTTTAATTCTATAACTATTCCTCATATATATATATATATATAGTAGTTCATGGTGGTAACTTAACTATAAAGTCATTGCAAGATGTTGATTTTTCCTCCAATTTGTACTTTGTTTCAGAATTTAACAAGGAAAATGAAATCTTCTATACATGGTTGATGGTCCATGCCTTTTTTCTTTTTTTCTCTTTTTTATGATACGATAACAGTTCATCTGCCTGTAAATAGGCTGTTTGCTTGAGGTAGACGCCTCATTTTGCCTAATTACAGAATCATCTCCTTGTTTACAAAGTAAGCAACTAGCTGACTAGTTTAATTATGGGTAGTGAGCATTAAACAGGTTGAATCTCCCTTGCAAACTTCTTTTATGTCTCAAGAGATTGGCTTATATCCTTATGTATAATTGAAGGTATGTGACCTTGTCTTCCCCTCGGAAAGAAAAATCAGCTCCTACTTATAGTTGATTCAAACATTGTATAGTTTTTATAAGCTTGGTTAAAATATAAATCAAAGTCAAGATATATATTGATGGGGCGAAAAGTTAGGAAGACAATCCATTACTTCGTATCTACCACACATAACATAAAGTAAGAGGTATTTATTAAAAGATTAATAATTTGTCTTCTTTGATTAGGAAAGGAAGCTGATTTTCCAATCAAAAGCCACTTTATTTACAGCCTAAGATCATACCTACAATCCCAATCCCTTATCATTCTCAACTATATTAAGGTTAAAAATGACAAGGGATCCTAGATGTATGTTCCTTAATTCTATATACTGGCCCTACAACATGAGATCCTTGTTTCCTGTTCACTCAATCCCAAGATACTTTCTAGAAACCACATATGAGCTCATTATTCTTTTCTCTTCCTCTCTCTCACTCATCATGACATTTATGATATTATTGATTGGATAAACTTGATAATAAGGGGACCCTTTGTTGATTATAATTCTGCCATGGATTTGATGATATGCCTATACATGCAAAAATGATGGATAAGAAAATGTTAGAAAAAGTTTAAGGCATAATGTGGCAATCAAGGGGAGGGTGAATTGAGTAATGAGTAATGTTCCCTTGGAACATGGGCTGAGATGATTATGAAAGGGTTAGTTGGCCTTGCCTAATAATACACTTCAAGCATACCACATGTGGTCTCTTCACCTGTTTCGCATGTGGGGGATACCCATTTTACTCTCAATGATATCCTTTCTTCATGTCGCAATATCACTATCACACCTTATCAATTGAATGGATGCATGTGTTTGGCATGCTTGAATGCACACCATGCAAGTGCAAGTTCATCTCTAATTAATAATACCCTACACCATATATATGTCACATAGATCAAGTCATTGCATCAATTCCGATTATTGCATATATGTGTGTTTAATTTTGTTTTCCCAAAATCATGGTAATTAATTAAGTTCGTTTCGTTAATCATTAATTAAAAAATTAAGACAAACAAAATGGTATATACATTTATGAAAATAAGTCAAATAGTAGCACTCCTCAACCCTAAAAAAAGAGAAATCAATCTTCTATTAGACAAGCACATAAAAATGAGAGGCCAACATTTTTGAGTCATGCTAATTAAAGACCCCATTAGATTGATTTAATTTGATTTATAATTTATTATAAGGTTACGATATTTTTGGACAAAATATCAAAATATATGTTTATGTATATTCACAAATACACGCGCACACACGTGTTCTTTGTGAGACTTTAGTTTGGATGTTTGGAGATGATGAACAAGAGAAGCGTGGAAGAGAGATTTCGGAGAAAGAAATGAAAACATTTTATTTTATATGATTAAATATTTAAAATATTTTAATATTTATTTTTAAGATTTTATAAATTTTTATAATTAACAATGTGAGTATCAAATAGAAATTTTTTTTAAGGTTTATATAAAATATTTTGTTTACATTACTTTTAAATGAGACTTTGCAGGTTCTTGATGCTACCACATTTTTTGTACTATAGTTTGTCAATTGTTCAATTAATATGTTTTAATCTTCTTCATTGTGTGTCAATTATTATTGATTTTGTATAGTTTCAATAAATATTGATATGAGTTGTGAGTGACCCATCTTAAAAATAAATGTGGTTGTCAATTTCGTTCATATTAATGGAAAAAAATAATTGAAGGCAAAGAATTTTATTTTTGAAACAGCCAATAGAATTAATTAGTAGTTGAACCCAAAACTGAAAAAAAAAAAACATTCAAGTTCTCGAAACAGTTAATTATTAATCATTTTTCTATTTACTTTGAGAGTATCATATCAAATTTTTACCTTTAAAAAGAGGAATAGTTTGGCGTTTTATGCATAAGATATTAAATTTTCTTTAAACATTCAAATGCATTTTTTTTAATGAAAAAATAGATTGAATGATGCTAATATTATCAAAGTTTTTGTTATTCAGAGCAAAAATTATGGGTCATGACTTAATTAATTAGATACATGCACTAAAATTTCGGAAAAGAAAAGAGAAAAATACTCATTATGCTTAAAATTTTGCTTCAAAGCCAAAGTAATTAACAGAATGCTCGTAGAAGTAGTTGAAGGGTTGTTTTTTAGTAAACAACATTAATTGAAATAATTCAATTAAAGATATTATTAATTATGAAAAATTCATATAATCAAAACCTTGTTTAAACAACAATTCTTGATTACACATTTTGTTCACACGGTTGCAATATTGCATTGTTTGTGTTAACAAGGTGTAAATACTTGATTTTAATTAATACATATTCTCTAAAAAATTATTTTTTAGTATAATATTGTACAAAGAATAATGAGAACAACTATTACAAGTGAAGCACTATTTTATGCAAAAAAAATTAGAACAAATAAAATACTACTTCACGCAGAACAACTAGAGCATTACTCCACGCAGAATAATTAAAGTATTACTCTATATAGAGCAACTAATACAAGTAAAACAACCACTTCATATAGAATAACCACTTCATATGAATGACAGTAAAAGTAATTTAGAATAAGTGGTAGGATTCATGGATTACTTTCATTTTGGAGTATTATGAAGAGTTTGGTTTGGTGACTTAGATATAGAGATATTTAAAAAGTTTTCCTCTTAACCTTTTCCTGAAGTATAAGTGTTTCACTCTCTTACCTTGTTCTTGTATACCTGTTCACATGCATTTTCTTCTCTTGTGCTTATTTACGTATAACTTTTTTTTTGTACCTATTCATGTATAGTTTTTTTTTGTATATTTTTAGAGGTATTTATGTACAACATTTTTTCTTGTACGAGTTCATGTATAGTTTCTTTTTTTTATATATATTTTCAGGAATACCTCTTCTCTGTTATCTTTTAGTCGAGAACAAGTCTTATTATACCTAATTACTTCAATAGTCACATAATGAGTTTCTAACTATTACTCACCATTAACTCTTAGTAATGGTTATCCAACATTAAAGTTATTCTTAATAATATTATTTCATTAAGTATATTAAAGCTTTTTTGAATAACTGCTACTTTTAACACTATATATAAAACCTTTACAATTCATTGGTGGATTTTCTCTTTGGCTTAGAGCTATCACATTCTCCTCAAGAACTTCTCTCTCTAAATTATTTTTATAATTCTCTTCTACTCCCTAATTTTTTTTTTATTCTCTTCCACTAATCACAACACTTAATACTTCAAGAATTACTCCGATCTTTTTTTTGTCGCCTTATCCTTTACTTCTTTGCAACATTATTTCTCTGTATCACAAGAACCTCCGTTACACATGGCTTCTGCAGCATGAAGGAGACATTGCTTTTATATATGACAAAGAGAACAGAGGAGAAGGAATTAATGGGTGAATGGTGAAATACAGGCAGAAGGGGAGTGGTGGGGAGCCATGCGCTA